TGGGTGTACCGAGCGGTATACCGTACCGTACCGGTACCGAGCCCGGGTCGAAACACCGGTACGGTACGGTACGACGAACCTTGGTTTTTAGAACATATCATGATGATAATAAGTAATTAGTTAGCATCAGGAGCTGATTTATTCTAAAATGAAATTCATATGATTACACTTGAGTATCTGGAGAAGACAATTATGACTTATGATAATGAACTAGGATTATTATTATTTATTTCTCTAATCATAACTTGATGCTTAACACAGACAATCTTTCAGATCTTGCATCTGATATGGATCAACCATGATTTCATCCCTGTTCAAATCTTTTGCAACCCAACTAGATAGCATCGAATCGATGTGTTAGTTTTCCTGGAGGCATCATGGATTTCAGTCTCTAATGAAATAGGAAACCTTTCAAATGGACATAGGATTATTTGATTCCTTATAATAAAGTTGACTTGAACCTAAACCTGAGATAACTTTGAGAGACTTTATTTTGGAAGAAAAATGAGAGACTAAGTTCTTCGTGAAATAATAACATTTTCATACCAACTATGGTTATGCATGTGACATACAACTTAGCGAGGGGCACGAGTGATGGTATTACTTGCCTTGGTTCGGTGCTGTTCCTTCCCAAATAGGAAGATTCTACCTTTTACAGGTAATTGCACTTCCACGGCTATTGTACCCAGGGTTCCTTGTTGGCTATACACCTATTGTGAGACTTGCAAATTGCAGGTACTATACAGATCCATCAGGCACATTCTGGCAATGCAGTGCAAAAGCAATAGGCTCAGGATCTGAAGGAGCAGATAGCTCTCTTCAAGAGCAATACAACAAGGTATCAGTAAGCATATCCTTCGAAATTTTTGTCTTCGTTTTGGTTTCATTAGTGCTGGTTAAGTATCTCATGCAATTTTTTGTGCACCATTGGGTTCTAAAATGTACTTAATGATGGAAGATAGTTGCTGATATCACTGTTTGTGGAGGACTTAACCCTTCAAGAAGCTGAAACCATAGCCCTTTCCATCTCGAAGCAAGTCATGGAGGAAAAGGTTTACTAGCTATCTTCTTCATACTTGTTATGCATCGAAACCTTACTGATCAAGATAATTTGCTTGTGCAGGTGACTCCAAATAACCTTGACATCGCAAGGGTTGCCCCAACTTATCACCTTTACACACCTACTGAGGTCGAAGCTGTCATTGCCCGCCTATAATGCTTGTCCTTGTACTCTTCCTCATTCATTTTCCTCTCCATTTCGCAAGATTTTCTATAGCACTTTGATGTGTAGTTTTCTTGAAATTAATCGTGCTGAGAGTCACAGGATTCAAACATTTGCACCTAACTCCAATTGAAATCAATGTGATTTCATTAGATTTAAATCAGCTCTATGTCATTTGATATTTGTTATAAGATTTAAAACCATCCAACCTCAAACAATTTGACGCTCTTTTTTTAGCTTTTTGCCTTTATCAAAATTACACCATCTCAGAATGCCATGCGCAGCCTGCAGCGTCTCAAGTGAAGCTTCTTGCGTCGGCGACGATTGAGAGCTCAGGAGCGCAGGCCCAGGCGAACCAGCGACCCCGTCGCCGGAATCCAGCTCGAGCCTTGTATGAAGTTCTCGACGGTGTACCTCTCGGCTTCCTCCTTCTTGATCACATGGACGCCAGGCCACGTCACACGGCCGCTGGCGTTGGCGCCGGGGCCGTCGTTGTTGTACTCGCCGTAGTAGAGTGTGCTGAGGGCGAAGTCGCCTTCCCACGGCATGTAGCCCTCGGCGTGGATGAACCCGTCGATCTGCGACTCCATGATGATGGTCCTGGAGAACTCCTTCCACGGCCGGGCCAGGTAGCTCCGGATGGGAGGGAGGGAGGCGTCATTGAGACGGTTGTCGGCCTTGATGCGGCACTGGTGGAGGACGAACCCGGTGGTCTCGCGGCGGTTGAGCCGGCCCTGGGCGGTGATGATGTTCTGCTGGTTGGGGAGGGGGCGGCGGACGACGAGGAGGCAGTTCTGGAAGACGGCGGAGGCGTCCCCGAAGATGAAATCGACGGTGCCGGCGATGACGCAGCCACGGTAGAATTGCCGGTTGGTGTGGGCGTAGAGGGTGTCCTGGTACGCCTCCATCCGGCAGTTGACGAACACGGATCGGTCCGACACCACCCGCAGCGCCACCGCCTGGTGCTTCGCTGCGCCGGCCGTGTTGCGGAACCCCATCGCCATGGCCACGAACCTGTCGCCCATCGCCACTGCACCAAGAAGGCGAGCGAGTCAGAGCAGCAATATTGCATGCTGCATCGAAGCATCAGGAGCACGAAACGTCTTCTTCTTGCTTACCAAATGTTGCGGTCTGAAAAGTCCTCGTCCCATCAATATAATTCCTGCTTCCCGTGACGATCGTCCTGGTGGAGCCATCGCCATACATCGTCACGTTGGCCATCTTCTTCGTCACATTCACAGTTTCCTCGTAGACCCCTGCTTTGATATAGATCACGTACCTGTTCGACCAAACAACAATCGATGATGGATCGCCCAATGTCTGTGGCATCGGCATTATAAGCACATACTAGTTAGTCGGTAGACTTGCCTGCCTTTGTGTTTTTTGGGCATTGCAGCGAGGGCCTCGGAAATGGTCTTGTACTTCCCACTCCCATCCTTGGCCACCGTCACGTTCGGCGTGAGCTTGACCCTTAAGTGTTCCTTGAGCATCCGCCGGTCGTCTTCCCCGACCCACGAGGGGTAGCCGTTCTTCTTCAGGCCCGACGTCACCGCCTCATGCTCCTCCGATGCCGACAGGAGGCGGCGGTTCGACCCGGGGAGGTTGATTAGCGACAGGAAACTGGACGCCTGACCGATCATGGCGAGCGCGTTGCTCGTCAGCTCCTTGCTGCTCTTCATCGCCTCGTGCATCTTCGTCTTCACCTCCCCCTCGGGAAAGCCGTCGATGCACGTCTGCTGGTACGTCATCACCGCGCTGAGCCATGTGCGCATGTCGTGCGACCGGCTCGGTAGGTGGTCGATGCCGCTGGCCACGATGCTCTGCAGCGTGGCGTTGATCTCCGCCTTGGAGTTTTCATACAGCTGCTGGCAGTCCTCCACCGCCCCGCGCACCCGGCTGTCGTTGCTCTTGAGCAGCTTGGAGTGCGCGAAGGCCTTGCTTACCTCGTCGAGCACCACGGTGACAGCCGCCTTTAGCAGCACCTTGGGGTCGGAGGTGTCGGAGGTGACGACCTTCGACATGCTTGACTCGCATGCCCGCTGGTAGTCGGTGGAGGAGCAGATCATCTTCACCGACTTGGACGATGAGTGCATCGCCCGGGTGTTGAGGTTGGAGTTGCCGCTGTCTTCGTAGTTGCTGGTGGCGACGGCGCCCACCACGAGAAGAAGCAGCAGGGAGGCGGAGGCACCGGCGAGCACGAGCTTCATCCGACGCTCCTTGCGGTCATGGTTCCGGCTTTCCGAGTGCTGGGCGTCGTACAAGTTCGACATGGTTGAGGAGGCTCCTCCTCCTCCTTCCCTCTGCCTGGAGAGAGAAAGGGATCGAGATAAGAACTCTTGGGTTTCTTCTTCTCCTTCTGAGGAAGGAGGCCCGTGAAAGGCTTCGAGGCTTCGAATTCTTCGACAGCTTCCTCTCGCCATGTTATAGCCATCGAGACCTGTCTAAAAATGGAGGGAGGAACGTGTGGTGGGCGTTATTACCGTTGCATTGACCGCCAATGCCTTCCGGTGCTGTTGACTTTGCAAACGATCACAAAAACACCCTTTCTCTTCTCAAAATGACATTTATGTCCTTCCCCATTGTAACCTTATCAGATCACTTAAATTTGTCATGCAGGTACTATTTAGTAATTTGGAAGACCAAGAGAAAGATAGCCATCCGCTCATTCATCCAAGCCTGATGGTGGCCTCTCTATGGCCATTGAGTTGAACTAATCCGGATCTAAATAAGGTAATAGATACCTGTTATTCCAATAACGTGTAATGTACATACATATATCATTAGAAACTGATGCATATTTTATCCTTTACGTGTTGGGTTTGGGTCTGGGTCTGGATCGGATCAAATTCGGATTCGGTCCGGATCGAATCCGGATTTGGGCAATCCGGTAAGTACAGTGTGGCGCGACTCAATGGAGTTGTCTCGAACCGGAGTCGCGACAGACCGGCGAGAGCAAGCCGATTGATCCCTCTGCTTTAAGATTCGAAAACAACACGTATCAACAGATAAAGGAGCTTAATGTAAGGGGAACCTTGCTCGTATTATTACTTTTTCTTGTCGTTCCATCGGCCGAGAGAGAGAGAGGCGTACGGGTTTTAGGGTTCGACTTCGCCTCCGAAAGGGAGTGGAATCGGATAGAAATCTTCCCCCTCCGGCATATTCCCAGGTCGGAAGCTTTCGTCAGACATCCCTCTCGAAACCTGTTCTCGTGCTCTACGCGCTGGTATCTTCGGTGGCGGAAGTTTCTTTCGTTTTCGAATAAGGATTAAGGTTTGTGCTGAAGCAGTTCAAAGTGCTTAAAAAGCTGTATTTTACCTCAATGTCCAGAACCTTATCAACGACGCTGTTTATACAACTGTAATCTCTTGCAAATAATTTCCATGAGAGTGAAGAAACTTAGATGTAGGTTGATGTCTTTGTCTTGCCAAGCTAGCTTTTAGTGCTAATGTGCTGATTCATATGAATGTCGCTGCAGAAATTTAGGTTGAGGCTTATATGTGTACGTATGTGTATTGCCAAGGTAGCCGGCTTTTTTTTGTTTGTATGATTGTTGCTACTCTTTCTGAATGTATTGAACCATTAAGTCATGAAAAAAATGAAAACATGTTGTCAATGGTAATGCTTCTGCAAATTTATGGTGGCGGTTTTTGACAACTTAGATTTCTCTTATAGGATTTGTCAACCACTGGCATCCTTTTGACTTGTACTAAATGAAACTTCGATGCACTTTGTCATCATAGCACATCATCATTTAAAGAAGTTTCCATTCAGTTTGTTCATATAGTGTCTTTGGGTTTGGTGATTTTACATGATCTAATATCCTTTCTTTTTTCTTTCTCATTTGCAATGAAGATTTCGAGTTGAATAGCTTGTTCATCATGGGTGAAGAAGACAACTTATCCGAACGAAGAAAAAAGAAAGCGCTTAAAAACAAAAACCATAGAAAAGCTCATCTCAACCTTTCCCAGAAGAGTTCAGCAAGCCAAAGCCCTCTGAAAAGGAAAAAGGATAAAAAACAGAGAAGAGGTCATGGCACAGCATCTAAAGATGGCACAGCTCAAGGTTCATCAAATATTCTTAAGAAAAATGTTAAAGCTGGTGAGTCTTCGAATCATCATCAAACATCAAGACAGCAAACATCCTCTCTCAGGTTTGGGCCAGCATCTTTTTCATTCTTTCTTCGTGAAATCGGATGTAACAATCTGGGTTTACTTGGTCAGTTTGGTATGCTCATTAAAGATGAGTATCAAATTCATTTGCATGGTTACTTGATTTATCATGAATAAGCTCTCTTCGTCTTTTTACTTTTTGCAGGAAAATGGTTGATCCAGAAACCGTAAAGTACTTTGCAGAAGTTGCAAATTTATTTCAAAAAAATGAGATCGACCTAGAGGAGCTGCCTACAATTTGTAGTAATGCTTTGGAAGAAACTAGAGGAAAAGAAGTTGAGCTCGCAACAGACATGACTATAAGTCACACTTTACAGAATCTTTTAGAAGGCTGTGATTTGGACAGACTATGTGGGTTTCTTCGAAACAGCGCAAAAGGATTTCCTTTGATTGCGACAGATAGATTTGGATCCCATGTGGCTGAGACAGCACTCAGGTCTCTCACGAAGCATCTAGATGAAGAAGGTTCTTATTCTTATATTACTGAGACACTCTCTAAGCTGTGTCAGGTAAGTCTTTTATATAATTACTGGTTAGTGCTTGATGTCCTCCATTATTCAGTAAATCTGTCTTCTCCCAGGTGGTGATTACTGATGCCGTGAGTGTGATGTGCAGTCGTTATGGCTCTCATGTCTTTCGAAGTCTTCTCTGTCTTTGCAAAGGAGTTCCATTAGACTCCTTGGAAGAGTTTCATGTTAGCAAGCCACAAGCCATTCTTGCTGAGCGGTTGAATAGTAGACCTGCTCAGTCAGGTGGAAGCAATTCTAAGAACTTTCAATATGGTTTTCCAGATATATTCAAGTTTCTTGTTAGCGAAATGTTAAACCATGCAAAGGATGATATTAGATCTCTGAGAGTCAACAAGTACAGCAGTTTTGTTTTGCAGGCATGTCCAGTGCATACCATACAAGATTACTATGAGCTAATAGCAGTTTGCTGACCTTTATACTTGTTTGACACATTCATGTTCAGGCTGCATTGAAGTTGTCAGTCGGGGATGATCAAGCTTTGTCAAATGCAATCTCAATCCTTCTTGGTAGTGACACAAAGATTAGTGAAGAAGGAAATTTTTTTAGTACTTCAGTTAAGCAAGAAATTATGGAGCTACTTGAGGATACTGCATCCAGCCATCTCTTGGAGGTAACTACTTCATTTTCTTTTTGGTAATCTGTTAAGTTTGTTTAAAATTCATGTGTAAACTCATCTAAATATCTTGCTATGAATTCATTTCTCACTTATGAATCTTATTATACTCGGGGAACATAAAGTTTTCGTAGTCAATTTTTGGTATTCTTTTTATCTTGTGGAGAATTGTCTGAATTTTAGTCTTAATTGGCCGCCAAGATAATTTTGAAATCATAAAGCTCATATTAGCTGGCTATGTCCTTAAAGCTGCATTTTTTTTTCTTGGTTATAGTTAGTGCAATCGGTTTTAGTAGCCTATTAAAGCTAAATGCAGTTTTTGTTCTTCTAAGTTAACTGTCTCAGAAATTGGTCTTTTTTGCCCCCTGAACTGCAAAATTACTCTTGCATTTAGTTTTCTGCCCAATTTCCTGCTGATTTCTGTTGATTAATGTGGACTGAATAATATTAATGTTATCTGCTGCTTTAGAGTCCAACTCCACTAGGTAGGTAATTCTATTATGATTTTTTTGCCATGTATTTTTAATCACTTGATTCCTTGTGCAGTGTGCTGTATTCTTGCACAACATAGACATGTTAAGGCTTTATGATATGCAGGTCATTGTTGAAGTTGCACCAGACACTCTGTACAATGAGTTACTTACTGAAGTGTTCAAAGATTCGCTATTTGACATCTCATCCCATCACTGTGGAAACTTTGTTGTGCAAGCACTAGTATCTTCAGCAAAAACTAAGGCTCAGGTAGGAACAAATTTTAAGTGATTTTGTGTTTTTTTTTTTTGCTAGTATTATTGGTTTATACACCATGATGTTAAGCCAAGCTTAGAGGCTATAATGCACTTGTCAATTGTAATTCACATACGTCAACTTCTCTAATCTTTGTTTGTAAACAAAATATTTTGGGCCATACACTTACCTGAGACTCTGTTCAAGATGCTTTACTTGAGAATTAGGTCTATTTTGCTATATGCAGATGGACTTGATTTGGAAGGAGCTTGGTGCAAAATCTAAGGAGTTACTCGAACATGGGAAGCCAGGAGTAGTGGCTTCAATCTTAGCTGCATGTGATCGACTTCAGACCCATCAGCATGAGGTTTCTCTTCTTTTGTAATTTTTGATTTGCAGATATACATTCTAAAGTAATGCCTTTTTTATTTTTTCTGCAGTTTAAATTTTTTATATTTGTGATGCAGTGTTGTCAAGCCCTTTGTGCTGCAGTAACTTCAGATTCAGAGTCTCCAAGCTGCACTGTTCCACATATACTATATCTTGAGAGCTACTTCAGGGATAGGTCCAGTTGGAAATGGCCTCTTGATGTTAAGATGCACGTATTGGGTTGCTTGATGTTACAAATCATTTTTAGATATCCTAAAGTATGTTGAAGCCTCTATTTGATATTCTCTTTTCTAATATTGAGGTCTATTCACCTAATGTGTTTTATTTTTTAAACATTATTTAATTTAATTTTTATTCTGAGGTTTTTTGGGATGACTAGCTTCTATGATTTGCATGTCACAAGTTTCATGGACATTACTTTTTATAATATGGTACGTTTGAGAACCATTATATGTTTTAGTTTGTTGTATCTCCTATATTCCATGCTGCCTTTTGATTTTTCATTTTGGTCCATTGCTTTCACCAACGTCAGAAGAAGACCATATTATGGCACTGTATTCTTCAATTGAGGATAGGTGTTTGAGCATGATTTTGTTGATATACAAATTTCTATGGACATACATACCTGCAGAGATACTAGGGCCCTCTTTTTTTCTAATTTTAATTTAGAAAGAAAAACATATTCTTGCTAACTACCAGTTTACATGCTCCTTGATATGTGAAACAACTTCTCGTTCTTCTAGTGTGGCTGTTGGTATCTATTTTAAGCCATTTTTTTAATCTTCATGAGTAACATCCACTTGTCTCATAAACTAGTAAAAAGTACGTCATCAGTGCACAATACAGAAAACACTTCTTTTGGCAGTAACAGATTTTGCTGTTTTGACATTAGGTCATGTTTTTGAACATTGTACTGCAGAGATTAGGCTAACTGCTGGTTTGCTCGTAGATGATTGCTTGTTTGTTATGTGTTAGTAGATGGAGAAGGGCTTTCTCTGCATGTTGTACTTTCATTTCCTTAAGTGTTGCAACTTTCTCTATTACATTTGAAAAAAATATAAATGACATTTGAAATTTGTGGTATCAACAGCAATTGATTCAGCCTTACGTCACAAGTCTTACATCGATGGATGCTGCTCAGATCTTTCAAACTGCCAAAGATGCAGGAGGAAGTCGTGTTCTTGAGGCTTTTCTCTGTTCGGATGTTTCTGCAAAAGTGAAGCTTAAAGTTATCACCAAGTAAGTCATGGAGCTGAAGTAGAATCCAATATGTTAAAAGAAAAACTTTCATTTGTTCTGTTGGTGCCTGCTTTTGGCTGTATGAGTTTATAGACTTGCACCTGGAGGTGTTTTATATTTAATATACAGTTCATCAAACTGTATTTTAATCCTTGGAGCTAGAAATGTTTTATTAACTAATTCACACGGGTGGAATTGCAATATACTTTTATAGATGTTTGAGGGAGTATCCTCATCATCAGATGGGCTGAGTTCCAAGAACACCATCAACAAAGCCCAAGAATTCAATGTGCCTGATGTCAGGTCTAAGAATGGAGAAACCTGACTCTGGACCATGCCTGCATCAGTAATTAATTGATAGCTTACTCATTACTGCATTTTCTGAATTTTTATTGTAGCTATGTCCAACTACTATGTAGCCTGCTTTTGTCAACTTCTATGGTGAAATGCTTTGATGTCTATAGACTTGGAACAAAATTGCAGCAATATTTGTAGATTAAAGGGAAATTCTTTCTGTGAAAGTTCAGTATATGTTTTTGTCCAAATTTCTATTTAATTCTACATTTTTGTTTTCAGCTTTAGAAACCCAGAATGAAAGACCTTTAGACACATATTTATGGCTTCCCTTTTCCCAAAAAAATTATACTGATGACTTGTTTTTTTTTTCCTTTTTTGTTGGCTACTTTTGAAGACTGCAAGATCATTATGGGGAACTTGCATTGAGGACTTCCAGCTCGTTCACCGTTGAGAAGTGCTTTACTTCTAGTAACACATCCTTAAAAGAGACTATAGCAGCAGAGTTGCTGGCTGTGCGTGCTGAACTCTCGAAGACAAAGCATGGTCCATATTTGCTGACGAAGCTAGATATTGATGGGTGAGCTCATTAGTCTTCTTGGTCTGTTGACTTAATCTCTATATGCCTACCAAAGCCTAGTATGGTAATCTTTTCTGTTTGAGCTAACTGACTCCTACAAATGTGCAACAAGGTTATAAACACTTTAAAACAAAATTAGTGTTTTAATGGAAAAAGCAAACGACAGGCAACAGATAATAAATGGTTCAGTGTATATCAAACTGCTGTTGATGAGAGAAGTACATGCACCACCTCCCTGGCCTTTTGACACGAGTATTGATATATAAGCTGCCGCATATAACATTAAAGGTGTTAGAACTGAAATAAACTAATTCTTCTCACTCTTCATGAACTGGTTCCCCATTATCTTGTGTTCCTGAAACCAGAATTCAACCGGAAATTATATGTTGTTTCTTAATTCTTCTCCTGGTGTTTCTTCTTAGACAAGAAGGTTAGAGAATTCCATCTGAATTGATCTTCATACCTTAAAGTGTATATAGTACCTCAATTGACCTGAAGAAATTGTTTGTTTCATATTCACTGATCTGCATTCCAAGGCCGATTTAGAACAAATGTGTCTGCTGCTAACATATATGATTCATACATATTCTATCTATATTTACATCCATCCTAATTCCTCCTCAGCTATGTATCGATATGAACTTTAATGCCTGATTAATATATGTAGCTCCTAATTTGAAGCACATGGTGGATATGATGATTTTCTTAATATCCGACCATTCACACCGTTGATGAGTTCTAAATCAATAACCAAAGATATGTTTCTGTTCCTGCACAAGTTTGCCACGTCTATCATATATGTTGCTTAAAAATGAAAATCTGTAGACTATTCTGATGTTATTTGCCTTTACCGCAGATTTGCAAGCCGACCCGAGCAATGGAAACAAAGCCAAGCATCAAAAGAAAGTGCCTACAGAGAGTTCCATGCTGTATTTGGTTCCAAGAGTAAACCTCATAAGCAAAATGTTGAAGCACCTGAATCATCTCTGGCATCCTCCAAGAAAAAACATAGAAGACATGAGAAGTTGAGTGATGATGCTGATGCTGCAATGGCAAATTCAACACTGGAATTCCCTGGCCTTGAGATCTCAATGGCCAAACTGGGGTTCCCTGTTAAGGCAAAAAAAGGACACAAGAGACGAGGTACCATGGATGCATCTGGTGTAGAAGAACCTGATAGCAAGAAATTTGTTAGAAGCAACACAAACACCTCATTTGTAAAGAGATCCGGGAAGAGAAAATCTTCTGCATCTGATCTTGCTGATCTAGCCAGCAAGTCAAGGCTGAGCGCAGGAGAAGTTCAGCAGCTTTTTAAACCAACAATTAAGAATGAAAATAAACAGTCTGGGAATGAGAAGGTACCTTTTCTGAAGAGGCAAAAGAGGTGGTGAGATTGTCGCCATATCGTACTAATGCCGTTTAATGGAATTTCTTTCGCGGTTAAGAAAGCTATAGGATATGAGCAACATGGCAAAGCTCAGTGGCAGAGGAGCTCAACAGGGAGGAGCACAAAAGATGTTTTCCCTTGACAATTGTTGTAGAAGTTTTTCTTTTTTTTTTTGCATATGACACAGTTTTGTCAATTGATGAGTTATCGAGTCTTTTTTGTTGAAAATAATTTGTGGTTCATCATCTTGCAAAATTAGGAAGCCATGTTTATCTGATTCATTACTTTGTTAATCTTGAATCACTGATGCAAAATATTTAATAATGTGAGTATAACAGTAAAATTGTTCATTTGTGACATGAGACTTTGTGACCCCATACAACATGTTTTGTGAGTCATGAATACAGAATAAGCCAAAGGTGTTGAATATGTTTCTTACATCTACTAACTCTATATCACAGTGATATTATCGATAGATAACATCATGTATTTATCGTCATTTATTTATTATTGACGATAAATAAATTTAATGAAGGCTATCACATCATGTATCATAAGAAATAGTATCAGAATCAGTATAATAATGCACATATCATTTTAACAACATAGTAATAGCGATGGAAACCAACAAAATAAATAGAGAAAATAAAGATAATATTTGAGGTACGTAGAAAAAAGATATTAAGTTCCAAAAGAGTGCATCATCTTCCACCATTATCCCCAACCCACAGTCAACAACATACGGAAACCATCGCTTTCTCAAAACCACGAATGTGAAAGGAACCACCGAGACACCAAAAAGAGAGCCGCTGCGGCGCCGGTGGAATTCTGCATCACCTCACCCCAATAAAGCAGCACCGGCAGCTGAGAAAAAGCTACGCATGGCCAATCGCCCGTACATTGTACCAAACCACATTACTGTCACCCCCACTGATATCAGTATCGAAGCAAGGAAGTGCTCGTCACTGTGTGATTTGGTATCGAAGCGAGACCCCCCTTTGCAAGCTCAAGTCAAAGAAGACAACCCTATCCAGCTGGAAGAGTCATCTCTTTGTTTCAACGAAATTACGATAACATTATCAAAATCTCTATCAACTAAATTAATTAATTGATAAAAAAATTAATAATTTATACTTGATAGGTTTAGAATTAAATAATCGACTCATTTTAGTTCTATAAATAAATTCAATTGACTTCGCTTAACATTTAATGTACTTATCGAGATTCATTTATTGTGATCCGACTTCTGATATGACTGACTCGATCAAAAATTATTAAGTGAACAATGACAGTCCACAGCAGATTTATAGACCAATCTAATTGATTAGTTGCTGAATACTGTCGATTTGCCACTATGCTTATCTACTGACGTCTCCAATGAAATGGACTGTCGCCCGCTGGATGAGAAGATGTGTCGGCGGCTACTCGTCGTTTTGCGCCCGCCACTTTGCGTGCTTCACATCTCTCTCTCTCCTCCTTCCTTTTCGATGTTGACTTCCACCCGCCGCGTTCATCGCGCTGGATCGCATGGATTTGCCGTACAATCTGCACGGCCAACAGAGCATCAACCGGCCGCGGCGCCGTGGTCCACTGCCTCACGCCTCTCTCTCTCTCTCTCTCTCTAGCCCAACAGAAGCGGCTGCTCCACCGGATCGGCCTTCCAGCTCATGCACAGTGTCTGTGGCCCTACCGGTCTCGTCCTTCACATGCAGAGATTCCGCGAAGGGGGATGAGTTTCCCGGCATTGGACATGACATGATGATGATAGCAAAGGCCGGCACAGAGGTACAGTTCGGTATTATGGATCATCTTCCTCCAAAAGAGCACGAGGAAGAAACCCTCAGCCTGTTTGCGATCAAAAGCCATCCGGATAAGAACAAAGTGGCTTGCTCAGTGTACAGTTGAGGGATGGGTAGATGCATAGATACATAACAGAGTTGAAAGGCCACACAAGTTGGACAAAACTGTGGTCCACTGTGGAAGATTGAACTCACAAAAGCAGGCAAAGATGTGGTGAGTGATGGCCATGGCCACTTGTTCCTTGTGCCATGTTAGGGTTCATTCGAGCTTGTTGCACTGTAAGCTTCACATCCTCTCCTTGCTTAATAGCATTCCTAAGAACTTCCCAAAATATGGGAATCTCCAGCTTCAACACACAACAAAAAATATCAAGACAGCCATGTGCATCTTGGCCTCCTATCTCCATCGACATCTGTAGGTGATTCTGATTGAATTGTGTAATGGATAACTACAAAAAGTAGGTTTAGGTAACATCACACAATGCAAATTATCTTTGCTGAGAAGAGAGAGAACAGTCTGCATGCAGTCATCTTCCAAGACTGGTGAACACACAGTTTATTTGCAGAGGAACTCCAACAATTCCATGGATATTTCCAACTCCTATAATGTGTCCACATCAGTTCTTGGAAAAAGCAGAGGTTGGCTTGCTTGAATGGCCTTCTTTTTATTCCTTCCTGTCTGGTTCACCATGGCCTAACCACAAGGTAGCAGTCAAAACCTACTGCTGTTCTACGATGGGTCAGTCCGTGTTCCAATTTGTTTCACATCGATCGAGATTGAGATGGTGATCTTAGTGCAGATCCATGAGGCAGAAACACGATCTCCGAAGGATTCTGGGCAACAAAGATCACTCACTGTATCGATCAACGATGAAGGAATGCTCTGCTTCCAATCTACAAACATGGAAAAACCATTTTGACCATGAAAACTTGCAGTGGCTCGACATGCATTGGCTACTGCCTATACAAATCCTAATGGGAACTGTAAATGTTGGATCTTTCTCTGTTTCAGTGACATGAACTCGTCGGTGCTTTCGAGATCGGAGCATGTCCCTCCTGCTCGACGTCATGTCCTCTGGGACTAGAAACGGCGGCCACCCTGCTCCCACGAATCAGAAGCCTTCGCAATGACCTCAGCGTTGCAGTCGTCGTCGTCGTCGTCGATATGGCCTCCTCAGGTAGACTACTCGCAGGCCGTGGCGAACTTGGAGTTTGGAAATCGTCCACCATGCTTCTTGGTATCTCGATCACCAACGCGCCCGTAGGAGTCCCTGAAGACGATCCCGACGAAGTCGAACTCTGTTCTCCGCTGTAATCCTGGTTGCGCGGTGATTCAGCGACGGAATCTGGCTTTTCGGGCTCCTCGAGCACCGCCGAGCTCCGGCAGACGGGGCAGGTGGAGTGGGAGCAGAACCACATGTCGATGCAGTCGAGATGGAAGGCGTGGCCGCACCTTGGCAGCAGCCGCGCCGCCTCGCCCTCCGACAGCTCCGAGAGGCAGACCGCGCACTCGACGCCCTCCTTCAAATCCCCAGCACGGAGCACCACCGGAGGTAGCGCCGCCACGATGGCTGCGGCGTCGAACCCGGTGGCCGGCTGGGCCGTCAACGCCAGTCGGGTGCGCCTGCCGCCGGAGACCGGGATAGCGCCCCAGTACCGCTTAGCCCGGAGGTACAGAAAGAAGACGAGGACAAACAGCACGAAGCAGGTGATCACCCCGGCCACCATGAACCCGGTGGTCGTCCGCAAAGACAGCCGACCGACGCCTCCCATCGACTGCTCTGATTCCGACATTGCTCGCGGGCTCTTCTTCTCGAGATTTACCTGCAACGCTCTCCTCAATGGCAAAGAGAGGATGAAGAGAAGTGATGTGCTTGTTGAGTCTTCCAACACACCGTATATATAGACACAGAGAGAGAGAGAGGAGGGGGGGAAGGGAGAGAGAGCTTTTGCTTTTGCTTTATTGCTGCTGCTGCTTTATCTTCATCATCATCATCTTCTTCTTCCTTGTTCGATACGGTAGTTGGGTAGTCGCTGTCTCGCCCGGCCGTAGTGGGTGACCCGACGAGTGCAGCCACTGTAATCTGATTCACGTCAGCAGAGGACTGTCAAGCTTCCTGATGATCGAGACGCAGGATAACATTGTATATTTGATGAACTCGTTGCCTGAGGTTAAACAACAGGAAGAAGAAGAAGACCGCCTTACAATATGCATTCCTCGATTGGCTTGCAGATTTCATATCTTGTACTAAAATAGTCGAATCAGGTGGAAATATTTCTCATTCTATACATGCACGAACGGCGAAGAGAAGACAAAGAACACGTCGCCGCTTCCTACCTTACTCTGCTGCTGCTTGCATTGCTCGTATGGATTCATGCCTTCCCACCTGCCGTGCACCTCAAGCATCGATCGAATCACACCCACACCAGTTAAACATAAATAAAATGGAGTCAAATAGGATGGATAGAGTTGATGCTCTAATCGTAGCACATTTCTGGAGGTCACAGTCATTCAAACATCCTGACACTTCTGATCGAGGAAGAGTCCAAATCGAAATCAATTAGGTATAGGTTAGCATCGATGTATGACCAGTGGAGTACTGAACTAATACAAGAGCTGGATAGGAATCTTTAATGTTGCTTAGAGATATCCATGGCATATACTATAATGCTGCATTGGCATTCGTAACACCGGCAACATGTCATGCGTTGAATAAGCTTATTTATCATATGTTTCTTCTCTCTCTGTACAAGATTTTACTGCAATCCATCTCTCGATCCTTCTTGTCTTACTGCAATCTCTGCCACCACTGCGCAGGAGCCTGAAGAGGAAAGCGGCGATGATTCAGCGCCAGAATTGGCGGGTTCGGGGGTGTCGAGGACCACCGGGCTACGGCAGAGCGGGCAGGTGGAGTGGGAGCAGAACCACATGTCGATGCACCGTAGATGGAAGGCATGGTTGCACCCGATCAGTAGCCGTGCTTCCTCGCCCTCCGACAGCTCGCCGAGGCAGACGGCGCACTCCACTCCCTGCTTGTATCCCTCGCAGCGGAACACCATCGAAGGGAGCGCCTCGATGGCAGCAGCGGCTTCGAGGCAGGGTCGCTGCGCGACGACGGCAGCAGGCTCGGTGGGAAAGACATGGTTGGCGTCCCGGTCCCGCTTGGCGCGGAGGCACAGCAAGAATACGAAGATGAAGAGGATGAAGAAGACGATTACGGCTGCTACTATGAACCCTGTGCTCGTCGCCAGATGCAGCCCACCAAGGCCGATCACCGACTGCTCCGTTTGGGTCATTGTTCTTGGATCTCGATCTGGATTACGAAGCCTACCCGAGCTTGGATTCTTGTTGTTGGAGGAGGGAAGCAGTGCGTGCGAGATTCATGTGCATGGATGGTGCTTGTACAAATGACTCAATGGAATCAGTGAAGAAAGAGAAAGGTGAGAGGGTTAGATTTCTCTCCACTTGCTGTCCTATTCTTTCGTGGGTGAAGGAAGACATGTTGGTTCCTCATATCTATCCTCCAAATCTAGATTGGATTGGGAGAGGGGCATGCAACTCTTTGACTTCTTACGGTTGATGGTGCTTGTTGTGAAGATTCCCAGCTTTCTGTGCACGTGAATGGTGGTAGTCCTTGCCACGGTTCGGTTCACGGAGCTAATTGCATATTATCCGCACATACTTAGTATCTTGATTTTTAAACTTAAAAATTTACATTGAAATCTATATAATTATAAAGATAAAATATTTAATTTTATTTATCATAATATCGATAGAAGATATAGCATAGGTAAAAAGATAATTTCAATGATGATGACGATTGGTGGCATCATGGGTAGTTGTTGTGGTAGTTGTCGACGAGAACGACGCAATGGTCGATCTTATCGATGTCGATTTGAATATTGATGACAAAGAGGAAGAGGAGACAGAGCGGTGAAGCATCTACGTTGGCACCGAAGGAGGATGAGGAGGGAGGTGAGGCATCTGCATCAACACCATAGCGCTCTATCTCGTCTTCCTCCTCCAGCGTTGCTCTACATCTACATTGGCATCGGCGGAAGACAAGTGAGGTATCTGCATCGTCGACGACGAGGAGGGAGGAGGAAGAGGAGACAGGTGAGGCAGAGCAGTGCAATGTCAGAGGAGGAAGAGGGGGGAAGCGAGGCATCTATAATGCTGTCACACTGCTATGTCTCACTTGCCTCCTCTTCCTCCTATAGCGCTGATGCAGATGCCTCACCTCTCTCATCTTCCTCCTCCAGCATCACTTTGAATTTGCATCGGCGTCGGAGGAGGAAGAGGAGGTAGAGTAGTGAGGCATATGTGTCGACGCTGCATCGCTCTATCTCCTCTTTCTCCTCCGACATCGCTCTACATCTGCATTGACATCGGAGGAAGAAGATGAGGTAGATGAGGCATCTACATTGGCGCCACACTGCTTTGCCTCATCTTCCTCCTTCGATGTCGGTTTACATCTACATCAACATTAGAAGAGGAAGAGAAGGTAGGTGAAGCATCTGTGTCACCGACGATGAGGAGGGAGAAGAAAGAGGAGGCAAAGCGGTGTAGTGCTAACATAGATACCTCACATGCCTCCTTTTCCTCCTCTGGCATCGCTCTACATATGTGTCAACGTTAGAGGAAGAGGAGGCAGAGCGGTGCAGCGTCGACACAGATGCCTCATCTGCCTCCTCTTCATCCTCCGGTGCTGCATCACTCTACCTCACCTACGCCTCCTCTTCCTTCTCCCCTTTCATCATCAGCAACGTAGATGCATCACCTGTCTCTTCTTTCTCCTCCAGTGTCGACACGTATGCAAAGCATCATTAGAGGAAGAAGAGGAAGTAGAGCGATGCGGCACCGATGTAGCTACCTCACCACTCTGCCTCCTCTTCCTCCTTGTCATTGATGTTTGGATTGACATCGGCAAGGTCGACCACCGTGTCGTTCTTATCTATCACTATTACAACAATCACCCACGATGTCACCATCCGTCACCACCATTATAATTATCTTTTTGCCCATCATTTTTGTGTCATTCGTGCATGTACTATCACGTGTTGTATCTTCCGTCAATAAAGTCGATAGCATTACGATAAATAGAATTAAATATTTTACTTTTATAACCATAGAGATTTCAATGTAAAATTTTTAAATTGAAGTCTAAGGAAGTCTAAATATTAAGGATAATACGTAATCATCTCGATTTGATGATTTATTGATTCAACCTCGGGCAATTCAATTCCGATTCCTAAATAAACTCCTGATCTTATGTTTGTGAAGGAAGACAAAAAGAAAAAGAAAAAGAAAAAGGTGCATGTCTTTGTCCTGATATGATGAGTAGAAGTTCATGTTTCAAGTAACTTGGTGAAATGGTAACTGTCAAGTTCAAACGTGTTCTCACCCAAAAATAAAAATAAAAAATCTATCATAAAAATAGATACATCGTAATACTTATTACTAAAATAAATAAAAAAACCCCTTATATTATTACTTTGTTATAAATATATTATAAATATTAGTGTCTAATTTGGTAATGAATAGAACCAGTTGGACATGACCCTTCTTTCGTAACCTTGTGGCATTAGAATCTTGAAATACCGATCGTGATGTGAAAACTCCTAAGCTGAGGATTCCGGATGTGACTTTGGGGACGTTTAGTCCTGCAATTCACATAAGAAACTTATGTTGGAGGCTTATCTAGCAAGAATATTCCGACACTTAATAAATGTTAATAAGATTTGGACACTTATTTGTTATGTCATGTTCTTCGATGTCGATGTCATACGATAGTATCTAATATCATAGGAAGGTTTCAAATATAATGATGCTATATCTCATAATAAAAAATCACCTCAATTTCATTCATCGGGACTTGAATTATCTCAAATAATTTATTCTACGATAGACTCATCATTTAGTTGAATATTCATAATATTAAATCGACTTAAACATGCTATATCTAGATTTGTTGTCTCAATTTGTTTTACGAAGAAAACAAACGAACAAAATACTTGCCAAAATTAAAATCTCTTTTTTATGGTGATTCAAATTATTTTTGATAGAGATAATCCTTACACTATCAGCTCCCCCCGTCACATAGGCCAGCGAAGCAACACATGAGCACCAACATTGAAGTCACCTACTCCCTGGTCAACATAAGGTTATGATGCCTGTCCCAACCTCCCAAAATGGGCCCATGAGACTTTTTCCTGGCACCACAGTCGATAAGAGAACCATGCCCTCTTATTAATGACTGGTGATATGGCCTGACATGATGAGCCTTCCCTTTCGAGCAATCAGCAAAGAGACCACATCTTGCCTAACCCAAAAAAACTAGGGGGTATGGCCGGAGGAGCCACCTCGACAATCCGCCCCAACCGATGCCCTTGGGAGCATACGTTGGCCAGTCAACCCCATCAAATACCTTCACTATGTAGGATAAATGAGGGCCTTCACGAGCACCCGTTCACACCACCAAACACTCAAGTATAAAAGCCGAGCCTTGAGTAAAATAGGACCAAGCGGGTAAGAGCTATTTACTCTCTTACTTACATTGTTAATCTCCGTATTCATCTCACTAACTTAAGTGTCGAATGAGTCTAGTTGGGACACTCCCAACATATACTTGTTGTGCAGGACCTTCGACGTCATCCGAAAATATGATCAGGAGGTGATCCATCTATCCCAATAGGCACTCTATGTAAGATCGTCACGCTAACCCTCAGTGTCAACTTTTTGTAGTTAATCAACTTAGTCGACTCAGAACGATTACCATTTGTGTGTGAACATTTTCCCTTTATATTTCTTTTCTACATATTTTCGGTGCTCAACTTACGGACAAACTCACAAAGAATAGAGAGAGAGAGAGAGAGAGGAAAAGAAAAAAAAGAAAGAAAAAGGAGGGCTATGAGATGATGAGATTCTTTGCTTCACATGCACGCATGCATACGCTTTACCTACTTGTGCATGCGTGGGAGAGCCCATCACCCACTCCCACACAGTGCATCTCAACCAAAAGAAAGCGTAGGTTTTGAGGAAGAGGATGAAGTCTAAAGTAGACAGACTCACAAAAGTTGCTTTTCTAGTGTCAACTCTACAAGCGGATTATGCTTCACCCACCAGAGAAGCTATTTCGTCTTAGACGAGATCTTACAGTGGCCGGAAATAATTCAAGAATCAGAGAGAGAGAGATACATATAAAATGAAAAAGAGGATCTAATTTATCACTCTATTATCAATTTTACTTAGAAGTCGTAATTCTCTCGTTTTCATTATCCTCTTAAGCTTGGAGTAACTATTTTTTGGCTCCTCCATATTTTGGTATTACAGATAAATCCCACCAAAAATGTACATTTTTTTGTTTTAAAACATTAAAATCTTTCTTAGTTTACTATTATTATTTTATTATTAAAATAAATCATTTTTTAGTACTTCCATCAGATTTTTTGTTTTTAATATTCCTTAAATGGATAATAATGTCAATTTTAGTTTTAATATCATTATTTCAATTATTAACTTACCAAGATTAATTATACTGATACACATGTAACTTTTTGAGATTTGTAGGTGTATATATACATATATGTTAATACCAAAAAAGAGAGAGAGAGATAGAGAGAGACGCACTAAGACAATTAGCGGATGGTGTGGATAGATAACGTGGGTTAGTGATCACTAAGTTGGGCATTGCCTTTAATTAGGCAACATTGGTGCGTATTTATGAGCCATCCATCGCTCATGTCGGCTTTTAATAGTGCCAGCGAAGTATAATAGTCGACTTAACGGAGTCTCCGAATCACGTAGCTTTCTTGGTCGGCACGTCAAGGTGGCTGCCGACATATCGACGGATCCCGTGTCTCACGTGCATCATCTTGCGTATCAATCTCCCCATCCATTGCTCGGTATTGTGGGCTCCAGAATGCTTCCACCGTTTCCCACCAATGAAAAGGCTCACTTACCTGCTCGCTGGCTCCCGCAGGACGGGTACATACTTGGGGCCCACGAAGCGACACAGAGTCGGTTTGTGGGTCCGATTCAGGTCGAGCCGCGACTTTTCAAGGCACAATCCGAAGCAGATTCTATCTTTCTCCGATTATAATATTTAAAATAATTCATAAAAATTAGTAACAAATATTCCCAAAGAAACCCCCCAATATTTTAGAATATTCTCTTCCGACTGTTTGTGATGTCATCCTTTTCTTATTATATTTCCTAAAATTAAGATATTTAATTTCGATAGAATATCTTACCATGGAATTCATCTCGTTGTGCTATGAATTAAGCTAAATAATTGCTTTATTTTTTTATTATTTAAAAGAATTTTTAGAATGAAAGATATTTCTTTCAAGAAATAGTGTGTTCGTTTACCCACGCAGAAACAGGTCTACTTCGAACATCACCCATCCCTGCCTCCAATCACAGAGCAGGTAGTCGACGAGGGTGAGATGGTGGGGGTGACAGAGCACTGACCCTTCATCTAGAGTCAAGTAGATGCGAATATAGAGGTTTACAGGGGCTCATGTGCAAAATGCCTGAAATAGAGAAATGTAATTTTGGACATTTTATGGGAGCATATGCGAAAAACTCCAAAACAAAGGAAGAGAAAATAATAAAAATAAATAGAAAAAGAAGGGGTGGGGGGTCTGTCTTCTTCCAAATTGGAGGGCGAGATCGTGTTTTCCCCAAATAATAAGGTCGAGATGGATCGCAACGGCATCGGCGGCTCCTCCGAGGCGATGAGTGGCGACAGCAAGGAGGGGTACGCCACCGGCGGGGGCGAGGGCGCCTCGTCCGGGTCGTCCTCCGGGGCGTCGTCGCCGCCGCGCGCGGGGCCGGTAGGGGGAAAGCAGCGCGACAAGGCGCGGGTGAGCCAGACGTCGCTGATCCTCTGGCACACGCACCAGAACGACGTAGCCGCCGTCCGGAAGCTCCTCCAGGAGGACCGCGGCCTCGTTAACGCCCGCGACTACGACTCCCGGACGCCGCTTCACGTCGCCGCGCTCCATGGCTGGATCGACGTCGCCAAGTGCCTCCTCGACCACGGCGCCGACGTCAATGCCCAGGACCGCTGGAAGAACACGGTGAGCTACATCTATACCCTTCGCGTCTGGATGTCTTTCCTTTGTGAGGAGCGATTAATGATTCGAGTCATGAAACAGTTGTTGTATAATTGTCTTCTGAGCTGCTAATCAGCATCATCATCATCCTTTCTTCTTCTTCTTCTTCTTATTGCAACACCTTCCCTGTAACAAACGTTTATGGAATCGATTAATTTAGGTTAATGAATTGTCAATTCTTTGACCTCATAAAAGAGTCCAGGTTGTTATTCTACTGAAATTTAATAGTCAAAAGTCGTTAGTCCTTTACATGCTTGAAATTCGTTAAGATGAAAATCATGATGTGTGTAATCTAGTCAACGATGCAAAAGGAAAAGGAAAAGTGTGGTTGACAATGATAGAAAATGTAGGTGAAGATTTTGTGAAATTAAGATGATAATATGTGGATTTACTAAAGAGAGGGTCACTTGAAGGAACTTTGTAATATGTTATAACCACGGAGGTGACATGGAAATGCATTGAGATTGCAGTTGGGCTCTGTTAGGTATTCAACAGTGTTGGACATAGACATACTTTTTTTATTACTTTGAAGATGTGTTTTTTGTTTTTTAAATTCATTTTTTTACCCTCAGAATGATTCTTCTTCGTTTCTCTTCTCAAGCCATTTTCGAGGATTGAACTCATACTAGCACCATTCAGATATTTGTTTCGGTAGATACTAAAAAAGGAGAAAATTAAGGTCTCAAAGTGTGTGATAATTCTCCAGTTTGGAGCCCTTGTAGTGGTCGTATTAGATAAAATGAAGTTTAGAGAAATTTGGACCTGAGATTTGTTGAACACACATTTTGAGCTTCTCGTCCACCTGATGAGGTTCCTCACAGGAGAATGCATCATAAAGGTAAACAAGATTGACAAGCTACAGTTTACTGACTGGTGGAACATTCATCACAGCAATTTGAAATTTAAGGTGTCTGGCAGCATTTACTTTAATGTTAGACATGTAAGGAATGAATAGATCCCAAGCATCAATCAGGAGGTTTGACCTCGCATTATCATTAGCAAACCTTTCGAGCAAGTGTGGATGACTTTTCAATTATTATTTTTGAATCTTAGCATACAATATCCATGGACGAAGATAGTGTTCAACATCAGTTGATCATTACTATGTATCTTTCTCCTCCATCTCAAGAGAATGCCTGATGGATTTGAGATTTGGAAGTTGAGTAAATAATAATCAGATTGGGAATTGGCGAGAACATTAAACACAAACAGGAAATATAGGCTGATAACGTATTTGTGGTCTGCTCTTGTAAAACTTCTCGGCTTATTATATGACCATTCACGGGATAGATTGAAACTACAAGTTTTAAACAGTAACACTTGGTATTTGAATTAGATATCCGATGATATTATTTCTATTCTCTACAAAAGTTCCATGTTTCAGTTATTATTCTTTAATACATGAAAGAATTTATCTAAGGTGGGTTGGTCCTTAACTTTTATCTGTTCTTGATAGCCATTGGCCGACGCAGAAGGAGCGAAGCAGCCTAGCATGATTGAGTTGCTGAAGTCATACGGTGGTTCTTCCTATGTAAGTTTACTGCAGTGGCTACACGATTCCATTTTTATACAGAGTAAATACACTTAAGTGGTTTACCTCAATACATCTTTGTTGTGGAATTCTATATATTTTTTATATATCAAAAATCTTAAAATAACCTTGGTTGCTTATTTTTCTTTTGCAGTTTTGTTTATTTCTGGATTGTGTATACTCAATGCATGATCTTAGTTGCATGAGTAACTAAATTTGGCTTTAGTGTACTCTTGCAGCTCCTAGCTATGCTGCTTGTCAATCTTCAGCTGAATAAAAAAATTTCAATGACTGACCTCTACATTGGTTTGCCATTGTGATATGCTGTAAATAGCTACATCATTTTCTTGTTTGTAGCATTATAAGTTTTGTTTCTATATCACTTCTCCCATCTTTATTATAGTAGCTTGGGATACTATAGCATTTGGCAGAGTCATACTTATAATTTTCTTTTATATATTAATGATACCGTGGAGGAATTTAAAAGTTGCACATCTAAGCTGTCTGATAAAATCTTTTATTTTACAAAAGGGCTAACTGTACAACACATAATACCGAAGTTTTTTTTATATTAATTTTCGCCCATTGGGCTACAGTGTCAAATTGTTGTCCTTTGTGATTATTCTAATGTTCCGAGTTTATGTAGGACATTATCTTCAAATGGATCTTCTCCAAGATAGTCAGTTTTAGGATGAGATTTCTTTTAGTGAAAATTTCATGATTTTCAGATGCCTTTCTCCCTCACTCCTTATCAATTTGTTTTGTTCATAAAACCCGTTTCATATATATTTTTTATCAGAAGTTTCTGCTCACAACTGGAAAGATTTCCTTTTCAGTATGATAATTCATGCCAGCAGAATCATAGATTCTTAGATTCTTTTTTCACTGACCAAAAATAAATAGGCATACTCTTCAATTGACTCAAAACTCCAATTGTAACTCAAGCTCAGATTGATGTTTTGTTCTGACATAACTGGAGTATGAAGGAATATTGACATCTGTAACGAGTGTTGATAAATGGTTTGGTTTTATCATAAATATCGGTGCAATGGTTGGAAAAGAGAAGGCTTGTAACTAATCAAGCTGCCTGGTGAAAATAACACAGACCATCACTTGAGGGAACAATGTGTAAAATGCTCATTTTTGGGCATCTTGTATTTGGTTTATTGGCCACAATCTGGCAAAGATGGGCTAGGCACGTAGCCAGTCACTAGGTTTCAAGCCTACTTCATCTGTACTGGTTGAATGAGTGGCTCAAACCAAGCCGTCTTACAAAATTGGTCTGTCCATAAAGTCCTCTCTGTGTCTGACCTCTCAAGACCTATCAGTGTCAATGGTCAATCACTTGACAATCAAATGGATAGAACATCACTGAATAGAACTGGCATGTGTCTTCTCTCTCTCTCTCTCTCTCTCTCTCTTCCCACCTGCATGCTTGTGTCAGCCTGGATTTAGTTAGAGCTGTGCCTATTGTATGTTCCATGCCAGCCAACACTTGACAGTTATTTTGCAGCTAATATAGTAAATTAAATCAAATATTTAATTTGGTCCTTTTCTTGTTGTATATCAAAAACAGTTACTGTCTTCACTACCTAACTTAATTGAATTTTTATCATTGCATATGGGGCTTTTAAGAAGTTTCTTCTGACAGTATTAAGCATACTTTAAAACACTAAGATTGATTTCTTTCTAACCTCTACTCTTAACCTCTCTGAAACAGTTAATGTTCTATGTTCACATTGCAGGGTCAAAATGGAAGCCATTTTGAACCAAAACCAGTTCCACCCCCTCTTCCTAGCAAGTGTGACTGGGAAATTGACCCATCCGAATTGGATTTTTCCACAGCAGCAATAATTGGAAAGGTTTACTTCTAATGCGCTGGCATTTAATGTTGCATTACTCTCATGTTGAATACCATTAATTCAATGTAGTATTCAGATTTTTTTCGCAATATCATGAAAACTTTTCTGCCATCAGTTCTGTACAATAACAGAGGCTGTTCAAAAATAAGAAAGTGAATTATGGTTTGTAATACTTCAAAATTTGTTTTCTGTCCAGTGATTGCATCTTATTTTATGGTTTGTTGACACTTGATTATTCTTAGAAGTTAAAAGTTGCTTCGCATATGCTAGACCAAGTTCCAACTAATTCATTGCATATGGACAGTGAATCATGATTGTTGTAACTTAATTATTATGCTGGTGTGGTTTATTGGAAATGCCTACTGAAGCTGAGAGATGGATTTGTAGATTTGTAGCAAGATACATGGTTGACAACAATGGCAAATGCTTAATATTTATTACACCAATGCTCAAAGCAATCTAGTACTGAAATTTTATTTCTCATATCTGATATGAATGTGGATATGGTAAAGCTAGAAAACTTAATTCTTACAATAAGGCAATTTGATAAGATCTAGTTAGCTTTGTGGTTTTCGTGAATATATAATATGAACTTTTTACACCAAATACACAATGTTATCTTTGGTGACTTTAAGCAAGTTTTGCCATTAGCAATATGGTGCAAGATAAAACGATTATGTGATCTAAAAGTAACTGAAAATCAAGATCTTGACTATCAGCATAGAGGTTTTATGGTGGATGACAAGCAAATGTTATGATTTAAAAGAGGAACAGAAAGAATATTTTGAAGTATTAAATAGCATGTAATGAAGAAATGCATGCTTAATGTGATAAAAATGTTATTATTGGATATAAGGAGGAAATTTCTTGCTGATTTAGTGGCATAACTAGCTGTTCTTTTCTTTACTATAAATCTTCACGTATTTTGCTTACAGAATACACATTCATTTTTACTGTTGTGCTGCTTAACAAACATCCCAGCCTAAGACAAGGATGATTTATAGCCAATTTTATAATGGATCACAGAAGTAAGCTGATTGAAGATATTTAGTGATGAATTTCAGACTTGAATCGGCTGAAGTATGTGAAAGGTCGATTTGTATAGCTGATTGAGAATGTGTGGCCAAACTTAACCCTCCACTGCCCACCCGTTTCTCTCTCTTATCTCTGACCTTTTTCTTCTCTCTCCTCCCAACTATGTTTTGCTATTTCACTTGCTATATTCTGGTTATTCTGACCAACAAGCTATCTTTTAGATTATCTCGAATTTTAATTCGGTCTTGTAGCATCTCCGGTGCTGAATTTAGTTGAGTTTTTGCTCGTTGCTTATCCATGGAATGATGTAGCTCACACTTGCAGGGTTCTTTTGGTGAAATTATAAAAGCTTATTGGCGTGGAACACCTGTGGCCGTGAAACGTATTCTTCCATCTTTATCTGATGACAGATTGGTGATGTAAGAATGTTTTATTTTGTTCTGGAAACTTTTATGATTGCTTTGTTTATTAGGGTATAACTAGTTCCTTTTCTTCAGTGAAAAAAAATACACTTGGAAAGAAAACCTATCTAAGCAGATCTAGTCCTTACTAGGTGTGAAGTTTATATCAAACATCGTGTCTCTTACAAGAATCTGATAACTGTTTATGAATTACTTCTGAGTACAATCATTCATTTTGTATTGACACTTATTCTTCTTCTTCGATCTTACTGAGATGGTGCCATCCCCTTACCATTTACATCATTCATGATATAATGAACCTATAAATAATTATATTTTCCGTTTATGGATTCCTTGCTATGATTTCTTTATATTAAATGAGGCTCTTGTTGGGTGAGTTTTTTATTTACAATTTTTTTGTCCTTATTTATTCTGTTAAGCATAGTGTAATTCTTGATAGGTGTTTGATGGTGTTTTAAGCACTTGGGCAACTGTTTTCCAAGCCCACTTTGTGATCTTTTGTTTTATTTTTCTGGTTTGGTCAACATTTAAATATCCATTTTATCAGAAGGCATAATACAGTGAGAGACAACTTACCAGTTACCATGTTATGATTCAGCCAGGATTTCCGGCATGAGGTAAATTTGCTAGTAAAGCTGCGGCATCCCAACATCGTTCAATTTCTTGGAGCTGTAACAGAAAGGAAACCATTGATGCTTGTCACAGAGTATTTGAGAGGGGTTGAAAAACGATATTCCTAGCCATGTTCTTCACAAATGAAAGTAACCTTATCTAAATGTCTAAGCAAGGTTTATTTGTGTCTTATTTCAGGGTGATCTTCATCAGCATCTGAAGGAAAAGGGCCCACTCAGTACAGTAACAGCTATCAACTTTGCCTTGGATATTGCCAGGTAATCAGGATCTTCATTTGCAAGTCTCTATAACTTTTATCACGTTTTTTGAAGCTAAATAACTTTTATTATTTTTTTCTTTAGTGGTGGAAACTTAATATTCCAAATAAACACCTCTGCAGATTATGCGGTCTTTAGGATATAATTTGTTACTAGTTGAGAACTCTGCTTGTAATTGCTTTTGCAGGATCCTTTTTTGTTCACAAAATGAACAATCTACTCGTTATTAAGCATAACTAAAAAAGTTCCTAGCAGAATTTATGATGAGAGTACAAGTTAGAGTAAAACAGTTCATCCATAAGCAAGTTTCCAACATGATTGGCAAGCCAACTGTCTGCATTTTGAATAAGTTTAGCTCAATTAGGAGTGTAGTATTATGTTATGGCTGTGGTGACATATCAATACGGCAATAAGTTTGAGTTAGGAGTATGGTATTATGTTATCGCACCAGTGGCTTATATATACAGAAGGATCAGAGCCTTAGAAGATATATTAGATTGTTATTTTTTATTGCAATCGAATTATCATTTGTTAATGGTTCATTCTTCATTTTTCTCTCTTTGATCCTTTGGCGGCAAATTCTCCGCCTATTGAAGAATACTCTGATAGGAGATTTATTAATGACAGATAGGATGGTCATATATTATCAGAGGTAAATTCTTTCTTCAAGCTTCCATGATGAAATGATGCAGCAAAAAGGAAAATAGATAGATGCATCATGTCATGTGCATATTTTGTTCCTTTCAGTAATAATTTGATCTCTCCAAAGCCCATCAGACAAAATCCCTGTCATTGATGTTGCTTCAGTTATGTATCCAACATAGAGAACCTTTAACTGTGTTACTACACATGACAAAGTAGGAAAACAATTGACCATAATATATATACACACACACATACACATGAACAGAAAGAATATGGTATTAACCAAGGATTACAATACTGAATGATACCGCCCGGTAAGCAGATCGTCCGCTACCAAGCGGTACCGTTGATCTAGCCCCGTGTTGGACGATACAGGACTGTATTGGGTGGTATCAGCCAGGCTGCGGCGAGGGAAGAAGAAGCATCAAGGGAGAAGAGAGAGAAGGCGCTCAAAGAAGAGGGAGAATCGGGAGAACCTCGATGCTTCCCGATCCGGTGCCACCCTCCCTTGATGATCCTAATCCAGAAGGTAACGGAGAGGCGATGGCTCAGTTTCTTCTTCGCCGAAGGTCAGAGATGTCTGCGTCCTTCGATGTTTTCGTTGAACGTCGTAGATGAGGAGAAGACCGTGTTCTTCTCCTCGTCTAACGCGACGAGGAGAAGAAAAGGAGGCAATGTCGTCGAGGCAGCATACGCCTCCTTTTTTAATTTTTATATTATATTATATATATATATATATATATATACACACACACACATACCGAGCGGTATGCCCGTACGATATCGTATTGAGCAAAGCTCGATATGCCGGTATGATACGAAATTACGAACCTTGGTATTAACACGAGCAATATTGATTATTTTAGCAAAATTAGTCAATGAAAAAAAAGCATATCCGTGTTCCAGCCAGCTGAGTTGTAATAGCAGCAAGCATAGCCTTGCTGATCGTGTCGAAGAACAGTTCCTGCCATGCTATGCTGACACACTTCTGTCACAATGAGTGCCATAACCTTTTGTACCTCAATAATATATTTTCTACTATGTTTGAGCTTACAACTTTCTTTCAGTGCTTTATATATGGTAGTTCCTATTGTTGTTTCTGGTCCTATGTGACAGGGGCATGGCATATCTCCATAACGAGCCAAATGTGATCATACACCGAGATCTAAAACCAAGGTTAGTTCACTTGGCAATATATATATATATATATATATATATATATATATATATGTTCTTGATGTAGACTGTTTAGAGCTTACTCTACTGTTTCTACTTTCAGAAATGTCCTTTTGGTGAACTCAAATGCGGATCATTTGAAGGTTGGAGACTTTGGACTAAGCAAACTCATCAGAGCCCAAAATGCACATGATGTGTACAAAATGACGGGAGAAACTGGAAGCTGTGAGTGTGGAACCAAATTTGTCTAAGCTAAGTAGTACTTTTGAACACTTAGGCTGATTTTTGTTTTGCTTTGTGGGAATCAGATCGATATATGGCTCCTGAAGTATTCAAACATAGGAAATATGATAAGAAAGTTGATGTGTTCTCGTTTGCTATGATATTGTATGAGGTAAGTTTTTCTGATTAGTGATTCAGTGACTGATGATTAGTTGGCTTAATGCTTCTTGACACATTCATGATTGTTTCCTTAGATGCTCGAAGGTGAGCCCCCATTTTCAAATCATGAACCATACGAAGCTGCCAAGCTTGTTGCAGGAGGAAACCGTCCATCGTTCCGTGCGAAAGGATACGTTCAGGAACTTAGGGAGTAAGTATTATTCCATATGCGGTCACTTTGCCTTTGATTCGCAGCACCCTTTTATTTCTGATGTGGTTTTGCCAAAATTGCCACCGAGTGGGTGCCAAATTTTGCTATATCTTACATTCTCATCGATAAGAATCAGAAAACAGATAGGCATGGAAACCATCTATAAATATTTCTCTAATGTGATTTATTTTTCTTTCAACCAATTTATTTCGTGGTTTAGAACATAATTGAAACTCCAACTATCGTCATCGAGTTATTATTATTCGAGAGACAGGAAATAACATCTTTTTTGATGTGTGAGTTTTGCAGCTTGACAGATGAATGTTGGGCCGCCGATATGAACAGGAGACCCTCCTTTCTTGTTATTCTCAAGAGGCTCGAAAAGATCAAGGAGAACGTATCACAAGAAAACCATTGGAGCATTTTCAACCAGTAGGCGATCTCTCTCCAGCTATGCATCTTTGTGTTCTCATATACTAGATTGTGTTTTGTATGTTAAATTAAAGGAAAAGAAAATTCCTACCTCTGTACCACCACCACTCATTATGGAACAATAAAAAGGCTTCGATCTTACCTGCTCTCACAGATGACGGTTCATCAATGAGTTGATCGATCGTGCGCCTCTGCTAATACTCTCGCTTGCCATCAGCTGCAGCAACCCTCCTTTTCAGGGTCTTACACACACATTCTCTCTCTCTCCTTATCTTGGATGTATAAATGATTATAAATTGCTGTTGATTTCTGCATCAGTTCTCCATTGCTATTGCTCTATGAAAGAATTGCCCTTTATCATTGCAAGTTACATTGCTACTGTAATTATGTTGGTCTTATCAAAATAAACTGAGTGAAAAACCATGACACTGTAAATCTCGGTCAACACATGAAATTTAAGAACTTGAAAAGGTTTAGAAAGTCGACTATAATATTTTTCCAAAAAAACTGTACTTTATAAAAGGATAAATTCTCCAAAATTTTGAAATTTTTATTATTATTCACAGAATGATCCATCTTGGCTTGTTGTCTTCATCTCGTAGTAATATGGGTCATTGTGATCACTTTCATCGCCGTCTTCATCTCGTTGTAATATGGATTATTGTGATCACTTTCATCGCCTTTTGAGAATCATCTGCCATCTTTGCTCTACTGTGATTGCCTTTCATCTCATCATGGCCACATTTGGTCCACCATGATCATTTTTATTCGCCTTTTGAGAATCAATCTTGCGATGACACTATCATTATATTGACCACCGCCCCATGACAACAATCCCCATGATAATAACCTCCCGAAACCTCTCTCCCCTAATTATTGGAGGTTGTAGGGGCTATGATTGTGGTGGAGCAAAGGTCGACTAGCGACAATATCGCTGTGGGGTGAGGTGATTTGCGACATCATGATCTTAAGCCTCCTAACATCTCAAACGTCTCAAGACGATCATAGTGAGACGAAGGTGACGATCGACAATACCCACCTAAAAGAGAAGGTGATGACAATCAATCATACAAGGATAATATCATCTTATAGAAAACAAGGGACACTCTACAAGAATAAAGTAAAAAAGAAGAGGTTATGTGAGAAAAAAATAAACATTTCATGGATTATTTTGAAATGAAAACAAACCTAAGCGATATACTTTGAAATTCATAAAATATTAACTATAAGTCTTTTAAACCATCACATACAATTTGACAGCTAAATAACAAGTCTTTTCAAGTAATGTAAATAAGATAGATGATATTACCTTCTCATTGTCCTTGTTTAGATAGCATGATGATAACACGGAGGAAGAAGACATGGTGTGATCAGCTACACCACCAAACTCGAACCACAAACGAACATGCTACATTAGATCTTCTCCAAGGACTGAAGGTTGTCAGCATTCAAGTCCTCAAAACCCTCAACCCCAAAACTGAACCTAACCAGGTTGTCCTTGATCCCATACTTGGCTGTTCTTTCCGGTCTGCTGAGGTCCCTGCACACAGATGATGCAGGTCAGAACTCATATTCTTGGACTATGTATTAAGTAAGCAATCAATGGGTTTCCAACCACAGAATGCTCAACATACATCCTACTTCTACATGTACTCAGCCAACAGAAACCTCACATATAGTTAATTGCTCACTGAATGAATTACCAGTAAGACATGATGGCAGGTTGATCGATGATACTTTCACAGCCTCCAAATGATGGAGCAATGTAAGGTATCTTCAAAGAATCAATAAACTTCTTGGTAGTGCTCAAGTCACCAGCTATCTGCATCACCCATGTAACCATAATGTTCAGATGTGTGAGATATTTATAGCTCCTGGCTATGGAGCCAAAGATGGTCCTCACCTCAAAACTGACCACACCACCAAAACCAGTCATTTGACACTTGGCAATGTGATGTTCTGGATGACTTGGCAGGCCAGGATAATAGACATGGATTATCTAACAAAAACTATGTTAAAACTCAAATTAAAAGTATAGCTAAGAACTCGTAAAACAGTAAAAATAATTAGTGTTTCTATTGTTGAACATTATTTTCTACAATCCACTCCACCAAATAATGACAGCTACTATAAAAATCACGAACCAAACCATGATAAACGTTAAACATGGAATCTACGCACATTAAAAGAAAGAAGATCTTCCAGGAGATTCGAGATACAGAAATTTCTATCTATTTACTTTTATACATGTAAAAGAAGCCCAGTAGAAACCCTACTTGCAAACCAGAGTGCAAGTGCAGAGGCTCTGAGGAACCTTGAAACGATTCTCTGTTTTTATACGTGAAAAAAATTCTGAAACACATTCATGAATATAAAAGTAGCAACAATAGATTCAATTCTTAAAAAAATTTCAATCTCGGATGGGTAGTAATATGTGCTAGCATGCAGAAATTGCAAATTTCTAAATCAGACAGAAGAACCATGATACAGGATGACCTCCTTTTATGTCAAAGATAACCAATTTTCTAATTATGTACGGGAGAAATTTTGAAGTTTCTCACACTAACATTGATTCATCTCTAGAAGCAAAATAGAGCCATTCAGCATATAGTAACTAGTATCAATTTATACAAACCTAGTAGATCTGTTTTATTGGTTGGCTGCTTTAACAGAAAGATCTGAGCAAGAATATTCAGAAAATGACATCATTGTAGCGATCGTTCAGAACCATGCTTTTGAAGTCAAACGTCATTCTTTTTTGTTATCCTCTGCCATCTCCACCTAGACAAAAAATCTTTGAAGGTAGAAACACTTTCCTATATCCTGACTTTCACAACCATTAAATAACCTTATTCAGTGGTGGTAAACTGGGCACCTGCACAATCGCCCACACCCACCATCTATTAAAATGGCATGGTAACGTTCAAATGTGATGTCCATTAGTTGTTCTATGAACTAGAGCAAGAAATAAAGAGTTGAAACATATGATTTCTGTTAACAGAGAACAGTATAAAACTAATATTCTTGTGATATACCAAAACAACATTAGAAATGCTACTTAAAACTAGTTAGATTAAACAACTAAAACTCATGATCTGAGCACAAGCAACTGCGAGCCTGGAGGGTAAGAAGGTTGGAGTTGCAACAGATGGTTTAATTAGTGGGAATTATTATAAAGCAAAGGCACCCTGATCATCTTCCATTACCACCAAATAAAATATATAAAAGAAATAAAAGGAATATAGTTTTCCTTCACATACCTTAGGATGCTCCTCTAAAAGTTGGGCCATCCTCAATGCTGTACTATTTTGATTCTGTACACGTAGATGCAGCGTCTTCATACCTCTGAGGATCATATATGCGTCGTTCTGAACAGTGGAAATTTGTTCAAAGTTTCGGTTACGTTCAATACAGTTTAAATTGACAATTCCCTCATTGGCGTGGTACCAGAGAGTCACTTACAGGATTAAGGACACCACCAACAACATTATGATAGAGCTGGATTTTGGAGATTAGCTCCTCAGAACCACTAATGCAACCTCCAATGACCTAAAAACGGAAGTAATTTTATAATTTATGCCAAAAAATAATTAAAACTTTTGTCATGCCTCATTTAACTTACATCATTGTGACCAGCAATAAATTTTGTGGCAGAATGCAATATTAGGTCAGCCCCTAAAGCTAAAGCCTTCTGATTTACAGGTGATGCAAAAGTGCCATCTATGCAAACCAATGCACCATTGTTATGGCAAAGTCGCGAAACCAACTCAATATCAATACATCTGAGGAATGGATTAGTTGGAGATTCTGTGAAGAAAAGAGTGACCTGAGCAAAAGATTTTGTTAGCAACAGACCAACTAGGGAAATTAATAAACATAATATATATATTATATCAAAAGTGAAGAAGCATTACAAACATTATTTTGTTCCAATGTGCTTTTTAGGGACTCAGTATCAGCAGGATCAATGACAGTTGCCTGCATTTCAAGAATACTGAAATCAGAAGGATCAAAAAACAGCATAGACATATATAACAGATCGAATGATGAGATACAATAGAACATTGACAAGAAGGTTAAGCAAAAATAATTCAGAAGGCTAATATCTTTTAGTAATGCTACACACATGTACAAGTCAAAGATTTGATCACTGTGACATAATCAATTAAACTCTATAGTGATTATCTTATTTCCTTCATTCATGCAGAAGTCCTGGGACCAATTATTTTATACTCAAAACTGAACCTAGTCTAAAGCTAACCTAAGCCTAGGTTCGAATTAAACATGAAATTAATTTAATAGGCTCTAGTGAAGTTCCACAAGGCTGGCCTATGTGATCTCGGGAAGAAAGCAAATTAGAGAAAGAATGGGCTAGGTTGGACCTGGGTTTGAAGTACGCCTACAGTTTGAAGATTAGATCTAAAACTAGTCCAGAATAAAACAAATCTTGGGCCATGCCAGACCAACAGTCATGATGGAGTTCTTGGGAGAAATAAAATTGTGCCCAGCCAGGAGTAGGTTAGAACTCATCAAAAAAAGTCTAACTGTGCCTAAGGGCCTAAACCTTCAGCCTGTACTCTTTTGGGTCACCACAGTTTGGTCGTTGGATAAACCCAGCTTATTGACACTATGATGTTTCTTCACATGCATATGTATGTTGAGCATTTATGTCCAGAAGGTGTTTAACGAAAAATTAAATGCCCAGCACACGGTCAATATACAAATGGGTCCAAGAGATCATTATCAAATCAACCACAATTTGCACTTGTGATTAAAAGAGTCATTGTAGGAAGTTTTCACCAAATAATAATGGATGTCATAGAACATATTTTAACCACTGCACATCTTCCAGCCATGCCAAAATGATAAAGCAAGCCTGAAAAGCATCTCATACAAGCTCCACATTCTATTATATAGAAAATAAAGAATTTTTGGGAGTTACCAAAATTCCCATCTTTGGAAGTTCACTTTCAATGAAAATTCTGGTCTTTCTGTAACAGTCATTGGTGGTCACAATATGCCCACCAGCAGGAACCAAAGCCGAGAACATAGCTACACTGGCATACATGCCAGATGAAACAAACAAGGTTGATTCAGCTCTCTCTAGCGCACTGCTCAAAGATAAAGTAGCATTAAACGACAGTGTGGATCAGCAAACAGAATGGATATCCAAGACATAAAAACCAAAGCGCACCTCATCTTCTCCTCCAATGCCTGTGTGGTTGGGTTCCCATAGCGACCATATTCAAAACTAGCATGTCTTTTTTCCTACAGAATAAAAATGACAATGCAATAGAATAATTAAATCTCATAAAGAGCCCAAGAAATGGTAAAACAAGTTCCAACTAATACTTGAAATATAACCAGAAACCTTGAAGTCAATCAACTCATCTGAGTTGCTGAACCAGTAGGCTGAAGTATTAACAACCGGGGTGGTAATGCCATCTGTGCTTATACCACGCCCAAATCTCTCACCTGTACAATAATATGAAGAGACCTTCACAATCTTACATGGTCAATTTACTAAAGCCAGATCACCAAATCAAATTGGTATATTCACAATAGACACAAAAAGAGTAGTAGCCAAGCTACTCAACTAAACGATGGCTTTATTAACCATTCATCTACGAGAAAATGGTAGTTCTAAGTACTCTAGTTTCATGTTTCTGAGCATTGAAGTCTCAATTTTTAGCATCAATATATAAGATTATTATTCAGCATAGGCAATAGATCTAACGTTCAGAAAAGATACCTAATATCTGCTAGAAAAGAGAAGCAAGACATGACAAACTGAAGATTCTGTACCAGCATGAACCGCAAGGCTCCCATCAGAGCTGAATAACGCTGCGGTCTTTGCAACGACAGAGGCTTTCGCATCCTGCACTACCGGAACACCCAAATCTACACCACTATGATCGACTCCACCACCAACGAGGGTGGAACCATCCGACCCCGCCGCCTCGGGAACCGCAGAAGCGTCCGACGAGGCAGCGGGGCGTGGACCCTCGAAGGCCGGAGGGTCATTCGACCACGAAGCCGCCGCGATCTGCGCGACCCCTATGTTGCAACAGTTCCGGCGCGCCTTGATGCTTAACTGGCGCACGAAATTGGGGGGAAACCGGAGGATCAACGGAGAGGCGCGGCCACCGCGGAGGGAAGAGGCGGCGGGCATTTCGATGCGTGGCCGAGCGCCGGAGTCGGACGAGCGGCAGTCGGCGGCAGAGAAGTAGGGTTTAGAGTGTGGTCTCGACGGGAGGCAGAGGGCGGAGGAGATGGCCATTGTGAGCGTAGAGGACGGCGATCGCAACAGAAACGAAATGAATAGAGAACAAATGAGAGGAAATTTATCGGAAAGAAAGAAATTGCTTTCTATAGAAGCGGCGATGATTGATGATTATATTTCCTTCCTCACCGTTGGATTGCTTTACGATTCGTGAACATTTGAATCCAACCGTGGATTCTATTCACCCATTTATCTTTGCGGTTCGCGTGTATAGCAGGCGCCCGAGTGTGTTCCTAAACCCACGCTGGGAACTTGGCGGGACCCATAGTGGAAGGGAGATTTTGATTGGTGTAGAGAATAGGTGGAACTCTCGGGCGACGGCTGTGGTGGTAGCCGACTAGTTTGGTTGGTGGAGTACATCATCACAAGGCCCAGTTGCAGGCTCGGCCATCATGGTAATGGGCTCCATGGAGAGGTTAGAGAGATGAGGATCCCCTGTCTCGGCAAAAGCACGGTCCCAAAGTTCTTCCTACTTGCGCTGCAAGTCTCTGCCGATGGACCCCGCGGCTCACGAAGGCGGGTCCGCTTTCATGGGTGGAGAAACATAGACCCTGTCCCGGATAGAAGACAGATGATGGGATCCAAGGTGGAACTCTCACCTCGACATGAAACAGCGCTCGTATTGGGAAGGGATCGGATCCAAATAGGATCCGCATATGAATCCGATAGGCTTAATGAATCTAAAACGAGTATCATTATCGGATTTACATTTATTTTCAGATTTGCGAGAAATCCAAAATCCATGTCCGAATCGACAATGTCGATCGATCCGAAGTAAAAATCCACACCCACAATTTGTTGCAGAGGGGGGATCCAATAAACGGCATCCGAGTATCTGCTTTCAAACAGTTGAAAGAAACGCAATTAAAAGCCCTCCGTAAAAACACCGTTGCAGTTACACTGTCAAGCATGTTTTCCTTGCTACTGCTATAAAAAATTACTTCCAAAAACATGAACATACAACAAAGAATGATGCCGAGTTAAAAGACATTTGTTGTCCTCCCAGAGAAACAGAGACACCAAGCATCAGCATACCGCAATAAAGCAATGTTAGAACACAACGCAAAGGGGTGCACATAGGCAATTGGATTTCTTGATTTTCGAATGGAATTTTTACCCACATCCTTATTCACACTTGAATTTACAATAAATTAATTAACACTGCAGGAAGCATCAAAAAGCTGTATTAAGCATAAAGCCAACTCTAATACTTTTCCATATTGCGTTGGTTACCAAAAGATTCCTGTAAATGCCACAATTCAGAATTACAAACTTTGAACTGGGTTGAAATCGGGGCGAATGACAAGCTCCAAGCCTTGCAAGGTTGATGCTCTTAACAGGGTTTTGAGTTTGTTATCTGCATAAAAATGTATATTCTTTTAACAAATAGCAATATCATAAGTTGATAAAGAGAGAATTTAGAACTGCTTAATCAATGAGCACACAATAGTAAGACGATTAGAAGATAAATGCCACTGAAAACTTTGCCTTAAAAAGGAACTGTCGATTTGTATTGGAGTACAAGTTCATTTTCATCTAAAAAACTGCAGTTAACTTGATGGAGGCCAGGAGGATGAGAGTGGCTGAAAGGTTGAGGAAAATTTTGTTCATTATCAATAGAATCACCAGAGGATGTTTAAATCATATCTGTTTCATTACAATTCCTATCAATGATCCCTCTTTCTTAAACAAATAAATAAATCAGCTAACTAAGGTTCTGGACAAAGAAGAAATGTATTTATTATAGGCAATAGAAATAACCCATACTGGTAGAATATGTCACTGTATCCAACTTCAAGTGTACTGCTGTAATGACTTACAGTGGAGTGAGCACCAATTAATAACACCAAGTAATCCTTGTTGATGAAACTGTACCTTATACTGCAACTGCCGTAGGTCTTTTACTAGTCTTGATGCCTTTTATTGCTGCAAAACCAAAAATCATTCATTAAATGAAATGGGTACACGAGTCTTTCAAGATTGAAGTTTCCCATTGTTCCTTTCACTTCTATGTAATCCTAATGGATAGTTCTGAGAGTACAAAAGTTTTAAGTTACTGAACAAGAAAGTACACAGACCGTACCTTCTGCATAATTTTTAGCACCAAATACTGCAGAACCTGCAACTATGGCATTGGCACCAGCTTCGATAACCTGCAATGCAGAAATAATTAAATTAGTTGCTCTACCATAAAACTCAAACCGTATTGCTACTTGACTTAGTTGAGATCAGGAATCTTGTCAGTGAATATGGAGCAGAAAATGCAACAGCACTAGTTGGTTGTAATATCAGAACTATTAGAAAAGATGAATCAATATGATGGTTTTCTGTTTTTAGTCATAATTAAATAGGTATCCCGCGAAGTAGTCATCTTTGAACAATTAACTAATGTTTAAGAATTGAGAATGGCACCTTATATGCGTTTGAAGGACCAACTCCGCCATCTACTTCAATCCATGGATTTACACCCTGCATGTCAGGGAAAACAATAAAATGCATATCCCATTGTTTCCAGAAAGCTGATTTGGAAAAAGAAAATATGTTGTTCATATGTACCTTTTCAGCACATAACCTCCTCAATTCTGAAATTTTCTTCACCTGACTTTCAATAAAACTCTGCCCACCAAAGCCAGGATTAACTGACATGATCAAGACCAGATCAACCACTGCCCAAGTGAAAAGTGGAAAATTGCTCAGTACTTCTGGAGTTGATATTAGATGTCATCTCAGAATCAATAACTTCAAGTGGCCAGTCCTTACAATGAATCATAAACCATATAACACTAGATATGAAGACGAATCTGAAAACCCATTTAAATGGATAATCACACAAACTTTGTGGGCCAACCCCCAGAATATTACATAAGCAATGTAGCATGTTTCTGGGCTCATTCACTTATTTATTTGTTCCATTCCAACAACATAAAAAAGGCTATTGGACCCAAAGCCAGCATTCTCATTCCAACTATTAATAGGACCTGAATCAACTAGTATTTGCAAGTGAAAAATTAGGTGTTTTTGTGGGTTTCAACTCAGCAGATACCATGTCTGTTCAACAGCATCAGACCCATTGCCTTTTTCATCAACATGGATCAAATTCTGTCTGGAAAGAGGCTAGTGTGCAACCCTTCTATGTTTCCTTATCCTCGTATTTCAAGCCTCCGGACCCTTGTTGATGGTACATACCATGCGAACAACTGCATTATATGCCATCAGAATAAGAACCCTGGCTCAAATCATAAACTAAGTTCCAAGGAAGGATTCTTTAAAAAAAACACTGCAGGCACTTTAAACATCCACATCAATTTCATTGTTTTGCACCGAAAAAGTATTGCATATTTGATCTGGAGTATCACTTTAAACACCTACAACCCAGTAATGCTGTAAATAATAAGTATATGTACATGACTCTGTATAGTTAATTCTGTTATATTTACTGTTTGACATAATATGATATTGACAGATGGCACAATTTATATGTAGCACTGTATCTAACTTTGTTTCTCTAAAAATAGAACTGTAAATACTGTTTTTTGCTGTCACATGCATCCTTAACCAAACTGAATATATCCTGTAGTAAGCCTAAGCAACTAAAAATAGACGACAAGAAAAAGTTAAATAATGTAGAAACATCAACTACTCAAGCAAAACCAATTCAGAGATATTAAAGATGGCACAACTTATATGAGATAATTATAACAACCAAACTGAATATTGAGAAAAGTCTGATGTAAATTCTCAGAGAAAAGTCTTACCATCTAGCACATACTCTATGGCACTTAATGGGGTTGCAGGGTTTAAAACAATGCCAGCTTTTGCTCCAAGACTCTTAACCTGAAAAAATCGAGGGTTAAAGTACATATTTGTCCAGTCTCCAGTGTACAACTTCCAAACTGTCACCCAGTACAATTCACACAGAGAAATGAAATAATTATAACAACCACATGAGGAAACATGCTCCAAAATTTAATATTCTGGTTCGTTTTCTGAAGAGAAAAACACCGTACTCCTAGATGAGGTCATGCCACTGTCAAGTCCCAGAGTCTAGAACTGAACCTTATCTTGCTAGGCAATAATAGTACAGTGTAGAATGTACTAACAAAAATATACCTATTCTTGAAGGGAAACCAATAATCTTTACTTTAAAAAGAAAACAGTGTCATATTTAAAGAATTTCAAGTAGACGATCAGTTAATTTTCTTACGGAACTATTTCAGTGACTTAAAAATGCAATCTCCGATGTAACCACAAAGAAAAAAATACAAAAGTTTTCAGTTGGAGTAAGCAGTTTTCTGGCAAGTTTTCTGGGGAAGTTAGCTCCAATACAGCAATTGCAAAAATTATCATCACACCATGACATGAATAAGATGTTTGCTAACTACTTTCCTTCCATGGAAACAGAAAGGGACCACAACTCAAAAGGTATGACATGTAAAACCACGATCAGTGGTGCTTCCCTATATACCTTTATCAGTTTCACCAGAAAGCACTCAAGCCATATGACAATGCACAACAATAAATTTGCGCAGAAGACAAATAGAATCAAGATGTCAAAACATAACAAGGTTTTACACATTTAAGCCAATCACCTGACTTATTTGTTCAGGAAAAGGGTTCTAATAGAGATGATACTTCGTCTAAGAGCAACTTTGTAACCTCCACTCTATAATGGAAGCATTGATCTATAGATGCCAGAACTCAAACTTCAAAATGGAGATTTAATTAGTATATACGATTCAAAAATATAATTGTCCAGCAGACTATTCTCCTAAATAAGTCAATTTGATATAATGAGATAGATTAAGGGTGCATAAAAAGTTATTTGCAACAGGATGAAATTTGCATATCTTAAACTTGTATGTTGAATAAAAAGTGTATGGACTATTGCAGGCATGGACCACATGTTACCATTTCACTGTAACTAAGAGAGAATATTTGATTCTACAAATTACCTGATTAACTGTCCTATGCAAATGAATAGTAGATGATTGTTCGCAATGAACACTGACAATGTCAGCACCTGCCTTGATAAAGTCTGGAACTCGCTGCTCAGGTTCCACAATCATCTGAAATTGGGATACCACAATAAATAAATTAAATATGACTCAATAGAAACAAATGTGTAATTATTGGGGAAATCAAAATTTTATAAATATGTGCAAGTTTATAAATTTAAAGCCAGAACTTTGATATTTTAAAGCTGGGAAAAAAAATACCAAATGCACATCCAATGGGAGATTAGTCACTGGGCGCAAGGCATCAACAACAAGAGGTCCTATGGTGATATTTGGCACAAAGCGTCCATCCATCACATCAACATGAATCCAATCACATCCGGCCACTTCAACAGCTTTAACCTATATGCATAAAACTGATCATTAATTTCCCCAAAGCAAGCTCTTCTTCAACCATGTTGTCATCAAAATTTTTCAACATCATGCCACAAATTCAGAAAAGAATTTTTCTATGATAAAACAAGAATAATTATTAGCAGAAGCATCAGCAACAGAAAAAGAAGTAGACGTAGAAGCAAATTTCTGATCTATTGGGTCAATGGCCACAAACTCATCTATCGAGATGATTTTCCCTAAACAGTGAGAACAAAACTATCTAGCCTGACAAATTTCAGTTTCATATAAGAAAAAATCTTGAGACATTAACGATTTAAAATTGGTTAGTCAAAACATACAAAAACAATATAAGAACGATTTGATTGACCTCCTATTTCAAATTAGCAGGTAAAAAGCATCTCTCAAAGAACCCCAAAGTATGTTGTGACTAAGGAATCTCAAGCTGAAACAAATATAATGTAAATGACCATTAAGTTCCTACATTGGGTGCATGAAAAATTAGCTCCCAAAAGTCTAGTGCTTGCGTTAAGTTGAACACTAAGGTATAAGCCATGCACTTTAAGGAATTCTTGTTATGAGACATGTGCCAATCAATTCTTGAAAGTCTCTAATGTTCTTAAGAAACCTCGGACTAAGCTAAATTCTCTAACATTTGAACCTGACAAATAGCTAAATCGACCAAACAGACTCCAAGTGCAACATTTTAAACCATGATTTAGTTATCTAATTTGATCAATTAGATGAATACGCTAGTATTTCTTAGTTATAGCAGACTACCTGCTTTAGTGAGAGCTTCAAAACAAAATGTCCATGAGCACCAAATTGAACGTCAATGAAATCATGAACTCAAGGAAATGCCAGGTATAACTATTTGTTTTCCTCCGACCAGAGTTGGAAGTAAACCTGCTCACCCAGCTTTGCAAAATTAGCAGAGAGAATAGACGGTGAGACAATTATGTCGCTCTTTGAGTATCTTTCAACTCGTGCTGATGCCTTGACCACAGTTTGAAGCTTCCTCCTGAAATTTCTTACGGATAGAACGTGAGCAGAATAGAATGAAAACAGCTGCCTATCATGGAGTTTCAAACATCATCATGCAACTAATTCGCTGCTCTAGGTTAATACATCATGTCATTGCCGAAGTAACAGAGGTCAATACTGTTATCAAGTAAATAATAAGAATAACAGAGATTATTATATTAAACGCTACGAGGGATACCCAACAAAGAACATAAGGCCAACCGCAACATAAATCCAGTCTTGACAAGAACGGGATTCACAAATAGGAACAACTCGCAGAAAGAGGGCTTATTGAAGATGAAACAGATTCTCGCACCAATTTTGCCAACTGAATCCAGGAAACAAACAATCTCAGGCAACCAAGAACGAGGGAAAAAGGAGGTGGTGGGGGCGAGACCTGACGCCGATACTGTCGGGCGGCGGGGAGAGAGAGAGCCTCCGCAGGCGTCCGCGGTGGGGCACCGCAATCGCCATCGCAGACGAAGAGGAAGCGGCTGCCGTGGTGATCATGTCTTCCGTATGTGTCGGGTCGTCGCGCTCTTCACCACGCCTTCGAACCAATACGAGAAGAGGGGCAGGAAACGAAAACTAACCATATATGTATTTATGAGATGGAGAAACAGATAAGAGAGACGGCCATGAGAGCCCTAATCTCAGCCTCACCCTCGTTATGTTATCTACTGGTTTCGGCGTCGGGACGAACGACGAAGCAAAGGCGGAGAAAACTCCCTCGAAATTACACGCAATGAGATGGACCCGCTACTTCGATTATTATTATTATTATTATTATTAGAACTCGAAAAGATAACTATATAAAGCATACGAGTCAAAATCAAGTCAACATATGAATCATAATCGACTCACGCTCGTGATTTGGCTCGCTCAAGAAATTGCCTCCATCTTAAAATCCACACAATTTATTTGCACCGATCTTAAAGCATATCCGCCATAAATTGCAATGATAAGCGATGATTTGAACACGTCAAACGTAGCCGTTACAAGGAAAAGTAATGAAGCCCAGCAAAATTAGGACACGAATGAATTCGACCGTTACATCGTCCCGTTTCAAAAAGCCATCGCCATTCCTTGCCTCTTCCGTCACTTGGACGATCGAACACAAACATGAAGGTGAGCATCGAAGAGCACCTGCAGCAGCTGCGATCTAGGGCCACGGAGCTCCTCCTCCGGGAGGACTGGAATGAATACATCAACCTCTACTCCCGCTTTATCTCCCTCTGCCGCAGCCACCTCCTCGCGGCCAGCAGTGGCGCCGCATCCGATTCCGTCCATAAGACCCTCTGCCTCGCCCTCTCCAACCGCGCCGAGGGCCGTTTCCGCTCCCGCGACCTCCCCGGCGCACTCGAGGACTGCGACGACGCGCTCGACCTCGACCCGGCTCACCTCAAGTCCCTCCTCTGCAAAGCCAAAGTCTTGCTTGACCTCGACCGTTACTCGTCGGCGTCCGAGTGCCTCAAGTTGGCGCTCGCAAGCCAGCCTTCCGGCGGTGCCGCCGACGTGGTTCGGGGGCTCTCGTACCGGTGCCGGAAGCTGGAGGCACAGTCGAGGACCGGGAGCTTCGACCTCTCCGACTGGATCTTGAACGGATTCAGCGAGAAATGCCCGGATCTGGCAGAATACATCGGCCCCGTCGAGATCCGGAGATCCACCAACGGCGGAAGAGGGCTTTTTGCCACCAAGAATGTGGAGGCGGGTACGCCACTGGTTGTGACAAGGGCAGTAGTGGTTGGAAGAGGGATACTGCCAGAATCCGGCGACCGGCATGGCGAGAGTGCTCGAATGGTGATGTGGAAGGACTTCGTCGACAAGATTCTCGATGTCGCTGAAAAATGCAGCAGAACACTTTGCTTGATCTACCAACTATCCGCAGGGACCGGGCAAGGCGAGCTCGACGTTCCTGACATAGACCTGTTCAAGCCAGAGGCAGCCGAGGAGCTCTTCGTTCTCAAGAGCAAAAAGCCAGACGTGGGTAGAATATTGAAGGTCTTGGACGTCAATTGCCTACGAGAAGAGGGATTCTCCGCAGGGATCCACGGAAAGCACAGCAACTACATCGGAGTGGGGCTATGGATACTGCCATCCTTTGTGAACCATTCTTGCAGCCCGAACGCGAGGAGGCTGCACGTTGGCGACCGGGTGGTCGTTCACGCGTCCCGCGACGTAAAGGCCGGCGAGGAGATCACATTCCCTTATTTCAACGTGCTCTTGCCGCTCGACGACCGAAGGGCGATGGCGAAGGGATGGGGATTCGAGTGCAGCTGCGAGAGGTGCAGATTGGAGGAGTCTGTCGGCTTCAGGCAGGAGATGAGGGAGCTGGAGATGGTCATGAAGAGTGGGACCGACTTAGACGGAGTTGCAGTGAGACTGGAAGAGGGGATGAGTAGATGGACGGTGAAGGGGAAGGCAAAAGGTTTCCTGAGAGCATCGTTTTGGCCTGCTTATTCCGGCGTTTATGAGTCTGAGAGGCTGACGAGGAGATGCGGACGGCGGATTCCGGCGGTGTCCATGGCTGTGCAGAGCGTATCAGAAGCTGTGGGAGGGGACGAGAGGATCTTGAGGGCGTTGTTGAGGAGACTGAAGAGAGGTGGAGGTGATGCCATGGAGATGGACAAGGCGATGAGGTTGGGAAGAGGTACGTACGGCAAGATCATGAAGAAAGCGGCGATGAAAGCTCTGTGTGAGGTCGCTTTGGTCCACTATGCCAATTGACTGTGGCCGGTCCTCCCCCTTATTTCCATTGTTTTATGTTGTGCATACGCTTATGCACTTAACATGGTTAAAGAAAGTCTTGACCAGGTTTTTCTTCTGCATTAATTAACTTATTTTATATTTTTATTTTTAATTTTTTAGTACAATGTATTTTTTTTCTCTTCTTGTCTTTCTTTTTTTTTTTTATTTTCATCGAAGGATAATATCAATAGGGATAAGAGTAGAGAGAGTCGAACAACGTCGATAAGTAGCTTCGAGTGACAATAACAATTAACGTTCAAGAAGTTATCATTAATGTCATTAATAATGAGTTGAGAAGTGTCAAAGAAGTCACGAGGAATGTCTAATGAAAATAAGAGGTTATAGGAAAAAAAATATAAAAGATAAAATCGTAGCTATAGATATTAAAATAAACACCTTATTATTTTTAAAGAGATTATCAATAACAAAAGAACAGTGAATAGTAAAATCTATGTTATTTATTGAATCTTAATTTGGATGGAGCTTTAAGCTGTGATACTAAACCAAATGAAAAATTAATGGAATTTATATATTCAGAATTAAAAAATAATAATTAGAATAAGAAGATAAAAATGGAATTTATAAATAATGGTGTCCTGAATAAATTTTCAACAGAGAAAAGGCCATTCAATAAATAAAAATACATTAGTGTGAGGTTTTATGGAGAAATTGTTCATATAATAATGCAAACTAGATATCAGTGGCTTAAAAGAGGTCCAAAGATAAATGGACGGTTAAGATTAGAGGATTTATGAATTGGATGATCAAACTATAGATAGAGCATCCCCCTGTCCGGCGCGGGCGCACTGATCGTTTCGCTTTACCTCGTCGCCCTTCATGATACGGAAGTCAGGCAACAAGCGGCACCAACCGGCGGTATGGCGGCGCTGCCGCACCATCCGCTCCCTGAGGCAGATGCACGCCCTTATGGTCGTCACTGGCTTCCTCTCCGACGCCTCCGCCCTTCGGGAACTGCTATTCTCCTCGGCCGTCTCGGTCGCGGGCGCCGTGCCTTACGCCCTCCAACTGTTCGACCGAATCCCCCGCCCGGACCTCTTCATGTGGAACACCGTCATCCGCGGCGCTGCCCACACCTCCACGCCCTCGGACGCCATTTCCCTGTTCGCGAGCATGGAGAGAGCCGGCACACGGCCTGACAAACTCACCTTCCCCTTCCTCCTCCGCGCTTGCACCAAGCTCTCCGAACCCGCGTTGGGTTCACAATTCCATGCCAAGATCACAAAATTTGGTCTGGAATCAGATTCCTTTGTCAGGAACGCACTCATTAACATGCATGCGAATTGTGGCGACTTGGCAGTGGCTGACTCACTCTTCGATGGGTCTGCCAGACGGGACGTCGTTGCGTGGTCCGCGTTGATTGCAGGCTACGCAAGAAGAGGTGAGCTGACCATCGCACGTCAGTTGTTCGACGATATGCCGTCCAAGGATTTGATCTCTTGGAATGTCATGATCACTGCCTGTGCGAAACGAGGGGAGATGGCAATGGCACGGGAGTTGTTCGATCGGGTTCCCGAAAAGGATGTTGTGTCATGGAATGCGATGATCGCTGGATATGTGCAATGTGGGGAGCATGATCAAGCGATGGAGGTTTTTGAACAGATGCACGTTGCAGGGGAGCAGGCTGATGAGGTTACCATGCTGAGCTTGCTTTCTGCATGCGCTGATGCTGGAGTTCTGGATATCGGCAAGAGGATACATGTCTCCCTGATGGAGATGTGCTCTAGAAATGGGCTTTCTACATGTCTTGGCAATGCATTGATAGACATGTATGCAAAGTGTGGGAGCATTCAAGGAGCAATGGAGGTTTTCCGGGGGTTGAGGGAGAAGGACCTATCAACATGGAACTCGATTGTTGGAGGATTAGCAATCCATGGTCACTTTGAAGACTCGTTATATTTATTTGAAGACATGCTTAAGAAGAAATTGAGACCGGATGAGATCACTTTCGTCGGCGTCTTGGTTGCTTGCAGTCATGGAGGGATGGTCGAACAGGGAAAGAGATACTTTTGCCTGATGCAGAATGAGTATGGGATTGAACCAAATATCAAGCATTATGGTTGTATGGTGGACATGCTTGGGCGTGCAGGACTTCTGAAAGAAGCATTTGAATTTATAGATAGTATGAAGATTGAACCAAACCCAATTGTGTGGAGGGCACTGCTTGGAGCTTGTCGAATCCATGGTGATGTCAAGTTGGCTGAGCGAGCTAATGAACAGTTGCTGAGGATGAGGAATGATGCAAGTGGGGACTTTGTGTTGCTCTCCAATATTTATGCTTCAAGAGGAGAGTGGGGTGGAGTGGAGAAGGTGAGGAAGTTGATGGATGACAGAGGAGTTAGCAAGGAGGCTGGCTGTACTCTGTTTGATACTGATAGTAAAGAGCTCATGCAATTTTTGTCACAGGGTAAACCTGGTTTAAGGATGAAGGAAGCTGCTTGATTGATACTACTTTCATGAAGAATGTAGGTTGATATGTTTGCAAAACTGGAGTTCCTAATGAAGATCCTGGGGCGATACCTTTCTCATGGCTATGGAGATTTTATATTAAGGGAGAAACAATTCCTTTTTCATTTTCTACAAGCAGCCATGTAGAGTAGCATTGGGAGGAAATCGTGTGACAGCATAATTTACCAGCTGCTGGCAATGTAGGTGTTGCCATTTGATGGACATTATTGGGGGCATGAACAAGTTATGGGGGACATGAAATGCATCTGCAATTTGCAAAATTGGAGCTAGTAGCAGAGACAAGCAGTGAGAACTAAAGGTTTCAGAAGCTGGAGCCAGACAAATGGTTCTTAAGAAAGGTGAGGCAGGGCTTGACTCTCTTTAAATTCTTATGCTGCAGCTTAATGAATTTTTGAAGGACTGAATTTGAATCTTACTTGTGCCGCTTATTTCTCTCATCACCAAATCTGCAACCTCTCAGCTTTGTAGCATATATACAACTATTAGGCACAAAAAATCATGAAACTGTCAACAACTTTTTACTGATATTCGGCTGTTCATCAGTTTGCCCGACACTCCCTTACACTCCCAACAGCATTCTTATTCTAGATTAAGAAGTATACAAACTCAACATGAAAAGTAGAACATGTGATTTACAAGAGTAGCAAATTTGGACTAGCATTCTTTCAGCTATTTCCAAGTGCCTATATTTACGATGTCTTCTTCTCCTTGCTTGTTTGCCATTCTTTGCGAGCACCCTCAATCTTTGCATTGACACCAGCATGGAAACCAGGGTATGGTTCATAGCCACACAGATTTTTCATCACCTGCATTTCTGCAACAATGTAAATCCAACTACAGGAAATAAATCTTCACAAACTACTGACTCTAAATGATTACCTCTAGCAAGACAAAGAATGGAGCAGTCAGTAAGGCCTGCACGAGGTTATCAAGAAGAGCTGGAGCTCTCTTCTGCCAGAGTTGTAAGAATATGGATTAGTTTTGTTTGATGAACAACCATATGGCTGCAAAAATAGGAAATTCCAGAGAACACCATAATTTTAGTGGGAGTACCTCGAAAAGCCCGTGGCCTAAAAATTGCCCAGTCCAGCAAAATAATTGTGCAACCAGAACAACCTGGAGGAGAGATTGGCTCCTGACCATAAGCTCAATCAAACAAGAAACAAATATTATACCTTCTAAAATACATCAGCACTCTTCATCTATTGCAGCAAAATCAATATTTCTTATAGTTTTTGTTCGTGTGGAGTAAAATCATCCTTGCACACTAAAATCTAATACTGAGGTGCATATTTCTCTTTATATATTTACAATAAACTGCTGAAGATTGCTTTGTAATTTATTATGCTCCTGGTTAATTTTAACATGCTATAATTTGAATGAAGTACCTATTCATGACATTTAGGTTACTGCAATGTGTCATGGTGAGTAAACTACTCCTAGCTTATGTTTTAAATTAAATAAAGATATAACACCTAGATTTTAGGGGTTTTGTATCTTTCTCCTATAATTAAGTCATAAATGTTTGTACAAAGAATTTGTTTCAGAACAAACTGTAGAAAGCAAAGAAACAGTGAAACTCTTGCATAATGCAGCCAAAAGAAATACACATTGGAGGTTTTGTATATTGCGTTTTTCTTATTATAATTGATGTTGCTGTTACAACATTTCATCTCTTATAGATAACATTTATTTTTATTGGTGCACCAACCAAGAAAGACAACTTTTTTTGTCATATCTAACAGAGTTTTGTTTTTGTTTCTTTTCCAGTTATTGATTGATTTGTTTAGATCGAGGATATCTCATGAAAAGAAGGTGTGGTACCCGTAATTTTATAGAAACAACTATGTCAAGACATGTGAATGATACTGCTAGCAATACACAACCAAAAAGGCTACTTGAGTATGACTGATGGTAGTATGTAACATTGTGAATAGAGATTTTTTGTCTTCCCTTTGAGAGGAAATGCTGATGCAGTGACTACAAACTAATATATGCAGTTAGAGTTATAGATGTTTGGACTGGGACATGGGCAGATAAAAAGCACTATATGGCATCATAAGCAACAAAGGAAGATTGTCAAATCATGAAAACCAAAATTTGCCTGATTGCCAACTTTTAGAGTGTCAGAAACAGTAGAACATTGGTCTCTATCAGAAAAAAAAGTCAGGTATCCATGCAAACCATCTATAGAATCTGCTATAACAATTTCCTCTTCCTATTGTATGAAGAAACAATTTCCAAGCTTATTTAAGAACAAAGACTTGTGTACTTTGAAGAGGGAAAACATGTAGTTCTTATGAGAGCCAGCACCAGGAGAAAGTTGGAAACAAAACTCTGATCCTAAATATCGGAATTGACATTGATTCCATATTTCTGCTGTTACTCCAACAGAGGAGGAAACAAGATCATTAGGTTCATCGAAAGTTTATAGGCTGGTGAAGCTGGTAATGGACAGTGTTATGGATGGCCATGGTTTTGAATAGCTTCCATTACTGTGAGATCTCATAAGGAGCTGAACATAGTATGTTTATGATGCAGATTTCAGCTCCGTGGGAGGTGACATCAGCATGCCATTTGTTTTGGATTGTCATTTGCAATTCAAAGGTCACTGGGAAGAAGATCTGAGGAGTCTCCACAGAAGATGATTAAGAAGCACAAAAGACAGTGCAGCAGATGTACTTCAGGTAGAAGAGAAGGAGAAAGCAGAGGATGGGCTGCACCAACATCACCTTCCAAGCAAGAGAGAAGCCAAGGCGACTCGCAAGGCAACCGCTGCCGGCCCAGCAGAGGACGCAGAGGATCGCGGCCAAGGATCCGGCTCTCCGATCCATGAGCACATAAAACAGCCCGAAGGCCACCGCAAAGGCGAGGCCGAGGTCGACGGCCAGGACGCCGCCGCCGAGCCAGGAGGGCAGGTCGAGGAGCGGCGGGGTGAAGTGGAAGAGGAGGAGGGAGGTGTAGAAGATTGGCCAGACGAAGAGAGTGTGGATGAGGACGTTGGTCGGGTTGCTGTGATACGCTCCGTAGAAGGCGAAGTGCTTCTCCAGATCGAGCATCTCGCCGGCCACGGACGAAAGGCGAGGGAGGTGATGGCGGACGGACATGACGTCGTGGTAGTACGTGAGGAAGAAGACGAAGGGAAAGCGAATGGGTGGGGGGGTGTTCTGTAGCGCAACAGCACCCGGATTTGGTTGAGGTGAGAAGGAATTGTTCGAGATCAGCAGGCGGTAGAAGTTCGAGACTGGTTTGTGTTGTGTCTGTGGGTGTGTTGGATATTTTGACTTGATTGATTGCCCCTCGTTTGTGACAGCCATGGTTTATTTATCTTGTTGGTTGACCAGATATATATATTAATGCGGCAGAAGATTTGAGAAGCGCTACCAAATAAAAAAGAGTGAAAATTAAATTACATATAGACGTATAATCTTTCTAGATAAGTTAGTTCCATCCCGAGATGGTGGATTATCCCGAATCGAATCGGGAGAGTTGGTCTGAATCGATCTTAACGCAAGGCTAATTGCTGACCGTGATCGTCGCAGCACGAGAAAACAACTCAGAAACTAGCAATTTTTGGACGTGATAGAGATTGCTTGCTCACATGATGTAGCTATGTCGAGATAGGTAGTGGTTTGCACCACTTACTGTAGTCACTGCGGCATGTGAAAATGGATCAATAATTGCCAAAAACCCTTGGAACTACTTCAATGGCAACAAGGATGGATATGGTCTCGGATGGCACGACGACGCTGCAACCTGCTTTGCTCGTCGCTTGCTTCCACAACAAAACATATGACTTATTTCAAACACACATTCGTCTGGTTTTTTACATGCTACGATGACTACGTTGATGGTGCAAATGTTAACAGTCTCTCCACCTTGAAAATCCCGAATTAATTTTTGCTACAACGGCATCATTGTTAACATTTGCATGTAAATGCGCAAATGTTAACTAAACCGAATTAATCAATTTTGAGTCGATCACATGATTCCGAATCAATTCCAGTTCGAACTAGACCACCATATCGAACCAAAATAATGTTTCAATTCTATTCAACCCGTTTGAACACATCACTCCCTCACACACAAAATAGAAAGCTATTTTTGAAAGTTCCAAGACAAGCACGATATGTAATGAAAAATGTCGACCATTTTAATCCCTTGAACCCCCCTCAAATGACATAACACAATGGGGTTCTCGAACAGGACAATTCCAATCCATGCATCGTCCACCTGTTGGTCACTCACTTGCATAATAAAATATATGTTTGATGCGACAAAGCAAACATTTAACTACCACATCACCGTGGAACCCGTGCACAGCGATACAGAACGTTAACCTATTACTGAAGCTCACACCAGGGCCAGAATCCAGCATGACAATTACTGTAACCTCTGTGAGGGAGCAATAATAGTTATAACTTATACATCAGTTCTCGCATCATCGGATTGGATTGTAAAATATGAAGAGTCCTCAAAACGCAGCTACTAAGGTTTGATTAGATCTCAAAAACTGATTCATGCTATTAACGTGAAATAAGGGAATAAAAAAGAGCATATTAGACAGGGTACCATGCACCCATGCTTGATGAAAGTTCGGACCGGCAAACATGCATGCCAGACATTTACCAGAATCAACGTAAACATCTTCACTGCCATATAACAATCTTTATAGGGAAACAGAAAAAGAAATCAAATTCAGATATATATACAGAAAATGCCAGCTACTACATCAAATATCAATGGTTAATAAAGATGTTTTACTGAACCTTTTCTTGCTCTCACCCCACATCAGATATATGGAATGAGCATGAATAGCATATTAAACCTGCAATCTGAGACGCTGATAAGACTCACCCAGAAAATAAATTAAACGTAAACATAATACCGATCAATAGAAATGAAAGATTTAAATACAAGGGACACAAGGAAATGACTCTCTGCAGTTACATCGGTCATCAGCCACATCAGCCAACCAGATGATGATAGATATTTTTTAGCTAAAATCAGTCACAAAACAACCTCAACTCAAACGGCATTAGCAGCCATATAAAGAAAAAGGATTACTATCACTGGTTTAAATTTTAGAATGTGATTGGTGCAACCAAGTCTTCTTGTTATGACCCTCAACGAGTACTAAAAGGAAAGGCTATTATCAGATTAAATGCAAGTTATCTATTAAGAAGGTATAATATAAAAAAGAACTAGAACATGTGAAAGATAGGCATAAAGGCAATTCAACTTCTTCCACTAGCAAAAAAGCCTTCACATATTGAATATTGAGTAAATCTAAAGTGTCATTTATCATTGAGATGCATATTGATAGGGGCGAATA